GCGGGGGGGGGGGGTTAATGATGCGGGGAGAAAAGATGCGGAGAAGCAACAATCCGGGAGAGTGGGGGGGGGGGGGTATCGGTGTGGGGTAGTAACGGTGTGGAGGTATCGACATAACCGCAAACTCTAATTGTTTATCCGAATACAAATAATGCACCCCCATTTTTTCCTTAGGCACCACTCAATTCGGTGTTTAATTAAGCTATGAATTAACGCCTTTGTCTTCGCGAAAATGTGAGATTATTCACGTAACGCTGTCCTTGGGCGATTCTAGGAAGCACTAAACAAGCTAAATGCGATGTAATTATTTTCTATTGTTCTTTAAAATTTTATTTGTATGTAAACAAATCTAAAAACTCATGTAAATAACCCAAGTATCGGGGGCAGCATATAGAACAAACTAATGGGAAATTCAAACAGACTATGGCTTCTTTCAAAACAGAAGATCCAAGGGTCTACAGATCCACGGATCAAATATGGCGGACTGTACATGAGATTTTACGGTCAGTCGGAAATTAAAAAAAAAATGGCTATTCAAACGGGTACGTCAAATCCAAAGCATAGGAGGCGATTTAAAAGCATATAAGAAAAATCTTCAAGGGTTTCCCTGTGGTCAATACTAATTTTTTCCACATAACACACCATTATCTAATACATTTTTACCATTTGTTGTAAAAAAAAATCCCCAACTCTTTTTACTTTCTCTTTCTTTCTTGATCAAACACGAACACAAATAACAACAAACATAATGGGGTGCGCCTGCGCAGAAACGTTTTATCGATTATTTCACTTGGCGCTGATGTCATTATATCCTTTATTCTCAGGTCAGCGTCAGGCACCAGTTTTTAAACCTTGGACTTAAACACGACCTCCATTAGGAAAGAGGAGAAACTACAAAACAGCATCTACATGCACAGAGCCAGTCATCGCAGGATTTGAATTGTAAGTATTAATCAACATGTCAATAAGTGGTGTTCAGAAAGTTATTTTTCGCCAATAATGATTTTAACGAAGTTACTCTTAAGCTGAAGGCTGTAGGCGGCTAACTAGGCGTACTATAAACAGAAATCCACTGACAAGTTTTTTAATGAAAATGGCTAGGTCACATGGTCTGCACCTGTGCTAGGCCTAGTGGAGAGTAAAATCTTAAAGGACAACGTTACTTTCTTGGGCCTAAGAATAAATACATGAATTTTTCTAGGCAGCAGTGGTCATTTTTTTGCGCATTTTGATCAGTTAATGATAAAAAAGGCGGACAAGTTTATTGACAACGCCCTACATCCGGGCATAATCGAATACAAATACATGAATTAGTTTACAGAGTGATTTCCAGTTGTTTCCCCTCTCAGCGGCGACTGTATATAAACAGGTTCAGTATATGAATTTCTTTTTTTTTTAAATTCAATTATTGTTTATGAATAAAGCAACTTAATACTGTAGTCAGTCGAAATTTAAAAAAATATGTTTATTCAAATCCAAAGTAAAGGTGATTTTAAAGCATAAAAACAACGTCATCTAGAGTTTCCCAGCGCTAATTTGTACTTTTTTTCAACATGACACATCAACACCTAATGTATTTTCCATTTGAATAAAATCCTCCAATTATTCCATCTTATTTTTAATATACATGTATTATCGATTTACTAATAGTAACAATTTCGGAAATATGAACATTGCATGGTGGGGGGGGGGGGGGGGGGGGGGGGGGACGATGCTGGGAGTAAAGATTCGGGGAAGCAACGATTGGTGTGTGAGCGTATCGATGCGCATACTGCAAATATTTACGAGAGGGGGGTCGATCTGGGGAAGTATCGGTGCGGGGGTATTTACATGACCTCAAAGTTTAATTGTTGTCTCCGAATACCAAAAAAAAAAAAAAAAAAAAAAAGAAAGAAAACGAACCCCATAAAGACTTTTCTTCAGGCACCGCTCAATTGGTTAAATTATTGAGAAATAAATAGCAGTGTTTAATGAAGCTGTTCGTCTTCGTGGAAATGTGAGATTTTTTTAAATTAACGCTGTGCTTGGGCGAATCTAGCAACCACTAAACAAGGTAAATGCTCTGTAATTGTTGCTGATGTTTTTTATTATTATTATAAAAAAGGATAGAAACTCATAAATAACCCAAAGTGTCGGGTTCAGTCTATATAACCAATCAATTACGCCGCGGGGTATTCAGAGCACAGACCGTGATCACTAGATACCTCCAATGGATTTTTAGGTTTTTAGAATTTATGTTTTTCATGTGAACGCAGCCTTATTGGTAATCAGTGTACTTTAATCTGTCATATTATTTTAGGTTTGAACCACCAAGAAAAGGTATCAATATATTTTTTAGTTTAATTTACAAGTTTTTGCACACATGACATGGTTTGTAGACAATAGTGCTGATTATTAAAGATAATTTAATTCAGATGCAAATGTGTTCTGATACTGAACCACATTTATAAAATATATATTCTTTGGCTAAAATTGAAGATTGGTCTTAGTTTTAAAAGGGAATTTAGTGTTCATTGGCTAACTGTCTGAGGTATAAAATAATCACCACATCAGCATATTACAAAATAAAAATTAACCATTTTGCCACATATATTCATGTATTTTTGCATTGCTTTAATCACTGTTGGGTGTAACAAATTATGATTTTCATTGCTGTTACTTTGTTTTAGATGTCATACAAGTCGCTCAAATGTTAAAATAAAACAATATCAATCGATAAAAATATATCTTTCATTTTTTCTCCTTATGAATTTAAATTATCAGTTTACTATTAGTTGGCCTCATGTAATAGACAAAAGTATAAACAAAAATATGCATTAATGAAATTTAATTTAGTAAGAATCATACTAAGTGCAATAACTTATCTTCATTGTCCCCGATTTTCCTGTGCAAGCTTTTCTTTACCTGGTATATAAGCAATACTATGCGAAAAAAAAAGAAAAGAAAAGAAACGAGGCTGACATACGGAAATTGCAAGTACTACTGTTTTGTGCACACGGCTGTGAATTGAATGTGCCATTCCTAGATGAAGGTAAATTTCTTTTACACACTTATATTGACAAAAAGCAGAATTTAAAATAAAAACGAGATTTCTACAGATGCAAAATTTAGCGATGAACGTGGGTTTGTGAAATTGTTCTCATACATTTCTTGATGTGAAACTAATTTTTATAAAACTGATCGGCTCTAGATTAAATGGAGGCGTATCTCACATAATTTGACAGTTATTCCCCAAAATGGTTGCGCCCAGGCTAGAAATATCTCTATACACCTTTCTGTAATCCCCTCTTTATAACTTCTTGCTCGAGGTGATCCCCTCTCACCATACCTATTCATATTATGTGCTGAACTTCTTTCTAGCATGTTAAGAAATAATGATAACATAAATGGCATTAAAATACATAAGGAAGAATTTCTAAATCTCAGTATGCTGGTATTACGACAATATTTTTAGATGGAACTGAACCAAGTTTACCAGTTGTGCTCCAAACTTTAAAAAGTTTCACTAGTATGTCTGGTTTAACTGTAAATTCACACTCACACACACACACATACACACACACACACACACAATTCTAACAATGTTATTTGTAAAGCTTTTAAATAAGATTGGAATTCGAAGACTTGAGGCATTTTAGGTGTTGAGTTTTCAACCAGGAAAAGAATTATAAAGATAAATTAAAAGAAGTAAAGATGTTGATGGAAAATGGTCTATCAGACCCCTGACACTATTATGGAGGAATGTAGTTCTAAAAGCATTGGTATTACCAAGGTTTACTCATCTTTTTACTTTACTTCCTAACCTGAATAGGAAAGAACTCCAAAATTATGTTTTAGATTTTAGGGAAAAGTAAATTTAATAAAGTTAAAAGGAATAAGATGATTCAAAACTATAGAAATGGGGGAATTAAGACTACTGACATTAAATATTACTTAAGGTAACCTGACTAAGAAGATGTATAATAAAAGATTCAAAATGGAAGACACACAAATATCATGGTTAATAAAATTTAACAAAGGGTTTAAACCATTCTATGACTTACTAGTTAATTCAGACATACAAAGATATAAATCTATGGCAAATGGGAACATTTATTAGAAAACACCTTTAATGATAACACTTGGAAAAAGTTTATAGTTTACCTTTTACCTGCAAAAAAAAAAAAAAGGAACAAAATTAAGTTGGTTCCAGTTCACAGTTATAAACCGAATACTGTCCACTATAGATGTTTTGTATAAAATTGGGAAAGTCCCACATAAAGTGCCATCAAAAAAGCAAAGAAAAAGATAAATTCAAAAATCGAACAGAAATTCCAGTCCAATAGTGCAAAGAATCTCTGGGACAATATCGCTCTTGTCACACAGTATAAAGGGTCCAGACGTGCCGTTGATACAGAGGACTCCACACTCCCTAACAAGTTGAATGAGTTTTATTCTCGTTTTGATAGGACCAACCACACTCAGGTCCACATACCAACCCTAGGGGAGCACGTGCCGCCATTTACTATTCAATCATGGCAAGTCAAATGTTATTCCTCGGCTTTAAACACCAGGAAAGCTCCAGGCCCTGACGGTATAACATCACGACTTTTAAAGGAATGCGCAGCCCAGCTTTCAGATGTGTTCGCGGAAATATTCAACTGGTCAATTGAAATGTGCAGAGTGCCTGAAATATGGAAGACAGCAACCATCATACCTGTGCCAAAAAGTAAAACTGTAGAGAATTTAAATGATCTCCGTCCTGTTGCTTTGACACCGGTGCCTATGAAGATATTCGGAAAACTTGTTTTGTCTTTTATTAAAACTTTAGTGCCAAATAGCTTTGATCCACTCCAATTTGCCTACCGTGTTTACACAAAGTTCTCGAACATCTCGATTGTAAAAATGCCTATGTTAGAATTTTATTTGTTGACTATAGCTCAGCATTTAATACTATTGTACCAAGCAAATTGTATTTTAAACTTTTGGATGATCTTAATTTTCCACCAGCACTCTGCGATTGGATTTTAGATTTTCTTTTAAACAGAAAACTGTCAGTAAAAGTCGGTTTTAACTACTCGGACACTATAGTTTTAAACACTGGCACACCCCAGGGCTGCGTCTTATCACCTTGCTTATATACGTTATTCACCCACGACTGTGTGGCGAGGGAGGAAAATACATTCTTAATGAAGTTTGCCGATGACACAACTTTAGTCGGTTTGATACAACATAATGATGAGATGTCATACAGGCAGTCGGTTACAAGTTTAGTAAATTGGTGCACAGACAATGACTTGATATTAAATGTGAGCAAAACAAAAGAAATGATCATAGACTTCAGAAGAAATCAGATAAGTAAAAATCCCTTGGAAGTTAACGGTAAAGCGGTCGAACAGGTTTCTAATTATAAATTACTAGGGGTTCAGCTGAATAATAGGTTAACCTGGGGCGATAACATCACGAAGCTATTGAAAAAGGCACGTCAACGAATGTATTTCTTAAGGAAATTGAAAGCTTTTACCACAAATGTGTTTATTTTAACGAACTTTTACAGGTGTGTTTTAGAGAGTATTTTAACTTATTCAGTAACTGTTTGGTATGGACGTGCAACTGTGGAGGAGAGGAACAAGTAGGAAAAGATCGTCGAAACTGCAGGGATTGTAATTGGAACAGATCTAACTCCCGTCCATACTATATATCTAGACAGGACTAAAAAGAAAACATTATCAATAATGACAGACAGTTCCCATCCAGCCCATACCCTTTTTAAATTTTTACCTAGCAATTCGAGACTCTCAGCTTTTAAGGGTAGTAAGCGATTCTTAAATAGCTTTTATCCTTCGGCAGTAACTATGTTTAACTCTAACATGTAATTTTAATTTTCATTCTTTATATTTTAATGGCGCTACTACAGGGCAAAAGATTCCCGATTTTATACATTTGTATTTTATTGGCTTAATAAATTATTATTATTATTATTATTATTATTATTATTATTATTATTAAAACCTGCTCTCCCTGTAAATCTGATACAGAAACAATACAATATTTGTTTTATAGATGTGAAATTATATGGACAGAAATAAATGCTTGGTTTAGACAAAAATATGATACAAATTTGACTATTTTAGAAAAACATGGTGAGATGATCATCATTTGGGATGAAATTTTTAAAAAGTTCCTAATAAAATGCCAAAGCCAAGTTTAAATATTCTTTGTCGGTTTTAGATAGAGAATGGATAAGAAGTTAAAATGTATTATTATTATTATAATAAAATATTATATATACAGTTGTGCTTATCAAAATATTATTCCAGTGTTGGAAGGAGTAAAGAAAGAAATATGTAATCATCAACTATTTATTTGAAGTCTACTCTTAAATATTAGTATTACGATCTCTGTATCATAATGTATAATAAATAATCATAATTATAGGAAAAGCTATCTATCAGTTTTCAGTGTTCTCCATCATTCCTTTATCTTCCACTCTCTTCTTCTCTTCTTGTCTTCTCCAGTATATAGATAAAAACAATTCACAAAGTTAAAAAAATAAACGCCACCAGCGTGAGCGTGGTTGTGGCCCGACCCGTCTAGTCTGCTGGCCACAGCTGTTGGCTTGAATTTGATCTATAACCTTTTTTCAAGGATACACACATAATAAAGGGTATATGTATAGGTTAAGGGTATATGGGGTAATAATAAAGGTTATGAAAAACATAAGTTATTATAAAACAAACCCAAGGTAATGTAATTGTATAACGAACCATATGTCTTTCTTTAGTATTAGTCCTATGTAGCCATACGTCCAATAGTAGCTATTTTGGAATTTCTCAGAATATCCAAGGATGCACACTTGTTACCCACCAGATATATATCATAGGAGTAATAAGGATGGGCAAAACCTGAGAAGCAAACACAATTGTTAGTTAACACTTTTCATCCTGGTAATAAATGAAAAGCCACGAATGTGCAGCAGTAATAGTATTCGTATGGCAAATGGGGAACACCTTGGATTTTTTCAAAATAATCAAATATGCACATTTATTTCCCGCTAGATATGTATCACAGTGTAATAGTCATGTGTAAGACACTGAAAAAAACAACAACTGAAATAGACAGTGTATAACGTTTTTCCTAGCTGGCATTACTTCCAACCCTACTTGAAGTATTTCTGTGGCATGTAGCGGCCATCTAGGGTTTCTTCAAAATGCCCAAGAAACATGTTAGTTGCTCACCATATATATACTATATGAAAGGATGTGAAAAATACTCAGAAACCACCAGCAGCTTAGAAGTTTAAAAAAGTACAGCTCCAATTTTGTGGCCCTTATACATGTTTATCTCCAAAATTGAGATGCATCCCTACTTAGCCTACTATTGAACTTGAAAAGTATATTAGCCATCTTAATTAAATAACTTACTTATACCATTGACCTACTTTTCCCCATAAACTGAACTTTGCATAGTATCCGACCCTTACATGAACATCTCTAATTATTATTAAATTTATTTGGTGTGAGGCGTCGTTTGAAAAACTTTGTTTGATGAGTTTTGGTTAGTTAGTACACGTACTGGTGTATAGACCTAAAATGTAAATACATTGGCCTTTGCTGAGATGATCTACATTTGGGATGACGTTTTTAAAAAGTTCCTAATAAAATGCCAAAGCCAAGTTTAAATATTCTTTGTGGAAATCTACAAAGTCTACAATACCACACATGTGTACACAAAGCTTTAAATATCAACTGATTATGGTGGAGCAAGTCCAGCGTTTTTTTAACTACTTTCCTCTTTTCGCAGGTGTTGTTGGCCCAGCATCAGATGTACTATTAAGCTTGTGTCTGAGATATGGCAAGACCAAGGAACGCTCAGATTATCCCTGCCCTTACAATGGAAATAAAATTCATTGCAACTACATTTTCACTTCGCATAGCAGAAAAAGAAACGGTATCTGAGGTGCTAAGATTGGTTGCCTTTACTGGAGTGACTGTCGCTACTGGACTTGCTGTACTTCTTCTTCAACGAAATGAGGACGTTTGGCGCATTTTAAGGCATGTGATAATAGGCAACGGCTGTGACCAAGACCCAGTAGTTAATGATATTAACCCAGGTTCTTTGCTTGTGGATATTACATGTTATACCAAAGAGAGTCTCCTGACGCTGGGGCGCCGATATGGTGATGGTTCTCTGGCTACGGACATAGAAAATGGCCTTAAATCAATCGGATACGACAAACCAATCACTGTGACCGCCGAAAAAGATGGCAAACCATTTGCACTGGATAAGGTGCACCAAGCGCTACTACAGGTAAATTTTAGTAAATGTAAAAAGTTGATGCAAATTTGCTTACATTGTTTATTTATGCCGAACGACTCTTAAATTTAGTTGCTATGCTGGTTATGACAAGTTTAAAGATAGAAACAAAATATTTTTGTGTTTGATGCATTTGCTTACGGTACTTACATATATACATTTTAATAGAACTAATCAGTTTTGTCTAGCCTAATTCTCTACCAGAACCACTGTTTTTTTATTTAAAACTGATCCAACTATATAAAGGTTCACCCACTATTGATAGAGGTATGAGAATTGTGTATTTTCAATTTATAGACAAATACACTGGTGAGCTACAAGGCCATATGTGTACAGGTAACCCCCCCCCCAAAAAAAAAAAAAAAAAAAAAGAATAATAATAAAAACAGAACCCATAAAATTTTTATAAAAACCTTTAAAGATTCATCACATTTCAAGAATTTGCTGGACTTAAACTTTTATATGTGTATAATCATTCCCCAAAGTTTCAGTTATTTTAGTCGCTTCGCGTTAAAGTTATGTTATTTTAAAAAAATATGCTCCAAATGGCCTCCGAGGCACTGGATGCACATTGGATACATCGTGAAAAAATTGTCTATTTTCCAACACATTCTTCCTTTGTAATTTTCTTCTGGTTCAAATTGTCAATTGAGGGCGTATCAGTGCAGAAAAATGTTGGTGCAGGAGAGTAACGGTACAAGCCGTATAAGGATTTAACCTTAATTAAAGTTCACTTCTATTTCTTGTATTATAACGTAAAATGCTTTTCAAGGCGCATTCAGTTGCTTACTAGGTCTTGAAATCGCGATTGATTTACTTATTTACTCTAATGAAATGTGTATAATCATTCCCCAAAGTTTCAGTTATTTTAGTCGTTTCGCCTTAAAGTTATGTTATTTTAGAAAAAATTGTCTATAAGGATGTAACCTTAATTAAAGTTCACTTCTATTTATTGTATTATAACGTAAAATGCTTTTCAAGGCGCATTCAGTTGCTTCCTAGGTCTTGAAATCGCGATTGATTTACTTATTTACTCTAATGAAATTTGAAACTTTAGCGAATCTCGATTTTGACTTTCATACTTTTCATTTTTATGTACAGACACAGATGTGTCTATAGCCATCATCTGCGTCTGTCGTCCTCGCCGTTGTTGTTGCCGTGCACTTTTACCGATAACACGATAAGTGGAAAACCGTTTTTTCTTTTGTCTTGAAACTTACATAACTGATGAATATTTGTAATACGCAGGTTAAGTTCGAAAATCAGCATGATCAGGCCATTTTTAGGGAAGTTATGCTGTTTTTTTCACTTTTTTTCAGCATTTATGCAACACCATAAACACGATAAGTGAAAAACCGTTTTACCTTTTGGCTTGAAACTTACAGAACTGATGAATATTTGTAATACGCAGGTCAAGTTCGAAAATTAGCATGATCGGGCCATTTGTAGGGAAGTTATGCTGTTTTTATTTCACTTTTTTCAGCATATACGCAACCCTGATAACACAATATAAGAAAAACAGGCCAATTGTCATTATACTCACAGGACTGGTCAATCTTACTAAAACGCAGGTTGAGTTCGAAAATCAGCATAATCGGGCCATTGTTTTAGAAGTTATGCTGTTTTTTCACATTTCCTCAGATTCAGTTCTTAGGCATGTTAACAGTCTCATTATTAAACTAATAAGATACGTAAAAGTGTTTGTTTGACATTTCCTGCATCTTTATAACATTTTTAGTTGATTATGTAACAAGGCAGCAAAGCTGTCAAATATACAGACAAAAAACAGGAAATAACTATGCACAAAATAGGCTACTGTCAATTCTGATGCAAAAGTACATTATGTTAAACTGCAAATTCAACATCAAATTTTAATTATGCTCAAAAGGTAATACCAATGTAAGTAAAATGTGTAACAAGTTCACACTTTGAAAATGTATAACTTCCAGAAAAAGAAGCCAATTAGACTGCTTTTCCAACTCAGGCTGCATTTTAGTCNTTTTTCACTTTTCAACATATATGCAACACTGTAAACACAATATAAGAAAAACAAATGGGCCAATTGTCAGTAAACTCACAGGAATGGTCAACCTTGCTAATACGCAGGTTGAGTTAAAAAATCAGCATAATTGGGCCATTATTTTAGAAGTTATGTTGTTTTTTCACATTTCCTCAGATTCAATTCTTAGGCATATTAACAGTCTCATTATTTAATTAATAAGATATGTAAAAGTGTTTGTTTGACATTTCCTGCATCTTTACAACATTGTTAGTTGATTTTGTAAAAATGATGGTAAACTTGTTATCATGTATTGTGTAATTAAGTTTCAAAAATGGAAATAAACTCAAACATTGCAGTTTGTCAGATTCAATCATTCATTATGTTCAGAATGGAAGAAATTGGACATTTAACACTGCTCTATTGACATTTTTCCCATCTCATCAATTTTCTTAGTTGATCATATAAAAATGGCAGTAAACTGTTAATTTTGTTTTATGTTAAAAATTGTTAAAAATGGAAAAAAAAACATTTCAGAACAGTGCTGTCTTGTTAATTTTGCAGTTAACGGTGCCCCTGACTTTAAGGATCTTGCCATCCAATTTGCAGAAAGTTGATGTTCTTGACTGCGCAGCTACTTTAAATAACCACATAAGATATCTTGAGTCTGGAGGTGGAGATAGATTTATGGCTGCTAGAGCCTTGGCTTTTGTACCAGCTTTAGGCAATTGTGGACAACTAAATCTTCCCAGTGGGTCACGCTACATAGACGTTGGAGGATTTGTTTGTCCGAGCAACTTATTTAGATATGACCAACTTTGTTGTAAGTTTTTTATGTACAGACATATTGTATCTGTTAATATAGCCATCACCTAGCTGTGTTTGATGTTGCCCTCACTAATTAAAATATAAGGTCAAAAATCAAAATCTGAAAACAATTTTAAGTGTTTGTTTATGTGCTTGATGTTATAGAACTGAAGAATTATAGTCGCAGCCTCTTTTATACATTTATAAGATTGCAAATTGCCTTGTAATTTACCATGGACATTTTATCTAGTAATTGAAAATCCAGTATGCATTTTATACAGGGGATAATAACCATATATTCTAAGATTAAATGACTCTAGGAGGGAATCCAGTTTCATTCAGAATCATTTGTAGGAAAAAGTTACATAATTTTGCATTCTAGCTCCCGAGACCATGGCTGTCTACACAGTTACCATACAAGACACCAGCTCAAGTACACCTGGCCTAGTCTACACAGCAGTTTATCCCACAAACCTAACAGCCTGTGTCCAACACTATATCACTGAACTGGACAGTCTTATAGCCAATGTTGCTGCTAACCTGACTAATGTATGTCAGACTTTAACTGGGCTAACAAACATTTACATAGAACTAAAACAATCTACAACAAGTGCAAATGTGTCTGGTAGGCAGGTAAGGATATTGTGTTTAACCTTTTGCTCGTTGGTGCTTTAGTTCTTATTCTTTAAAATAATTGACAGATACAATCAATTTTTGGTGGTAAGAAGAATATATTATTAAAGAAAATACAGATACACTGTACTTTTTATTTTTGGTGTTTAACAAAATTTTCACTTTTCCCATGCTTGCCATGTAAAATAAAATGTGTTTTGTGCCCAAACAGATTTTATATAAAGTACCTATGCCTAGCAACTTCCTGCTCTCATCCCCAGTTGTAAAGAAGGCAAAAGAAACTTTAAATTGACAATGTTCCCTGTGGTAAAGATTGCATTTGGAATCTGCTACATAAAGATGTATGTATAGCAGTTTGTTTAATTTTCCAGTTAATAGTGCCTCCGACTTTAAGGATCTTGCCATCTAGTGTGCAGAAAGTTAATGTTCTTGACTGTATAGCTGCCATAGATAGTCACATAAGATATCTTGAGTCTGGAGGTGGAGATAGATTTATGGCTGCAAGAGCCTTGGCTTTTGTGCCAGCTAATGGCAGCTGTGGACAACTGAATCTACCAAGTAATTCACGCTACACACCTGTTGGAGGATTTATTTGCCCAAGCAACTTAGTTAGAAATGACAATGTTTGTTGTAAGTGTTTACTTTTCTTCGTAAAGCAATCTTAGTTTAAGCTGAATACTTAATAAAGCAGGTACATATATATGTGGAAAAAAAAAATTAGAAAGAAAACTAAATGGAAAGTATTGAATGAGTTTTATTATGTCAGAAATTTAGAAATGTAGGGCCGCATTCACAGCTGAGGCTCTTCAAAGCCGAGAACTAAAAATGGCGGACGTACATGAAAGAAAAACCGCTTAATCTTTTAATTTTCTCTCCGCCTCTCACACGCCTCCCCATGCGTCATCCCAGTGGAGCCGAGATTTAATGAATGTACCCCCGCATGGAGAGGCGTGTGAGAGGCGAAGAGACCATTAAAGGATTAGGCGGTTTTCCTTTGATGTACATTTTCCATACTTAGTTCTCGGCTTTGTAGAGCCTCGGCTCTTCTCGATGTGAAAAACCCTTCAGCGGAGATACTTTCACCATGTATGTGAGTGTGCATTTGATGTCTCTTCCCTAAAGAATTTCATTAAGAGCTTTTTCTTTCGATTGTTAAGTACAGTACTTGATTAGCATTTAATTTTATTGCATTTATGTTTTCCATGGATATTTTATCCAGTAAAATTGTTTTTAAGTACCCTGTCCTATTGGAACCTACCGGGATGGAGCAGCCTGCACCCCATGTAGCCCCGGCCAGTACCAGGATGAACAGGCACAGACTCAGTGCAAGAACTGTCCTGAGGGGTTCACATCTTTATATGCAGGGAGCAACAGACTGGAACAGTGCATAGGTGAGACTTTGGAGGCTGCAGGGTTTAAAAACATTATTCTGTAACTTCTGTTATATTTTGAATAATTTATGATGAAATGTTATAAGCATCTTACATATTAATGTTTAATATATAAAGTATTGTTATTACAGCCAGTATTTTCACACTGCTTAATTGAAGCACATGCTGTAATAAAGTGTAGATAGAATCCTGTATTTTGCACATTGTGCTTATGATCAAGGCATTCATTGACTTTGGTTTACCCTTGTAGAGTACTGTTCAGAGGGTATGATATCAGATACAGGGTTGGCCCCATGTACCATGTGCCCTGCCGACACTTATTTCTCTAACCGCACCCACTGCGCACCCTGCCCAGCAGGCACCACCACAAATGGAGTAGAAGGCACCGAGAACTCCACGGGATGCAAGAGTAAGGGTTTGGATGGACAAAGAAAATAAAAAAGTGCATTTGAACTTGGTTTGATGATGAATTAGAAGGTTGTTGATTAATAATTACAAAGATGATTAGCATGGTATTTTTTCCATGACTGTTACTCGGGTAAATTCACCTCAACCTTATTTCCAATGTTTCATCACAGTTTATTTCAACATTGCACTAAATTAACCTTGTGAAACCAGCTAGCTACCTTTTTGTGTCCTTTGTCAAACTGATCAACCTTGCTTAGTGAGCTATGACACTGTACATTTAAAAAGAGTGTTGTAACAGAGGTCAGCTTCCTGTGCTATGAAATCCCCTGATACCACACACCACACATTTTAAGTGTTTTAATAACTGAAATGAAGCTTCTTCTATTCCTGAACACATTGCATTATTACTGTTTAAGGGCTTTTCTGTTCCATTTCCTCCACTCCATTATCCTAAGCTTCTTGTATTCCTGAGCAAAATGCAATATTACTGCATGTATAAGAGCTTTTCTCTTTCATCTCCCCCACTCCACTGTCCTAAAATATAAGGTGGAAATGCTTAGTTTTTTAAAGCATTTAATAGTAGCCTAACTGGTTACTGGAGACCAAATTATCTACCCTACACTTTGAATTCCAAGAAGCCAATTTTAAGATATATCCCCATATTCCTTATGAGATAAATAGAATATTATATAACCCTTATTTAATTATAATTATAATTATAACCAATTCCCTGCATGCAAGGCATTGGCAACACTCCTAGATTGGAACATTGGTTTACAGAACTGTGTCCTATACTGATCAATGAGCTTTTTAAATCATCATTCTGGCTCCCTTGCTTTCCCTTCTAGCTATTGCGTGCACTATGGTTAATGAGATCAGCAACAAGACCTATACTTGTGGGGCAGATGAAGCTTTAACAGTACCCAGCCTTGCAGCTTGCTGGGAGAAGTGTGTTAATTCCCAGTGTTCAGCTATTACCTTCTATAGTTCCTCTGGCTCTTGCATCATCTTTTATGACCTCTCTGGAAGAACCTATACTGCTTCAAGCCAGGTGGCTGTTACTTTTACCAAATCATGTAGAAATGTATCAGGTGAGATATATGTTGATTTTGAAAAGTTGTAAATTATTTCCTGAGTATTATTTTGTTATCAGGCAGGTCAAAAAACACCTTTTGTTGACATCAATTAATGTTATTCAGTTATCCCTATTGGTTTCATTTTAATTGATTGTTCATTTTGTTGTTTAAAATTCATATACACATTAGCCAAAATTCTCATCCCTGACAAGGAAATGTGAAAACTGCATTTGAACTACTTTAATGATGAGCTAGGATTTTGTTGATTCATTATTATCATAATGAAGATTGTTACTATGTATGAAAATTAAGATGATCAGATATGATATTTTTCTTCACATATCTTGCTATCAGTTGAGTTCACAAATGTATGACTTGCACTGATAGAATTATATGATATTAAAATAAATGGAACACTAGATATGCCAGGATTATATTTTCATAAATGTGAATATTCCAGCTGAATGTAGACCTGGGTATTTCTCCTACAATGGAAGAGAGCCCTGCACTGCATGCCCGCGGAACTTCTACCAAAACAGCACAGGGCAGACAACATGTTCACAATGTTCCACAGACTCCATCACAACTCAAGAAGCTTCTGATTCCAAGGACCATTGCACCTCACAAAGTAAATAATCATTTTTGTAGCAGATACTTTAAACTTAAGGCTACGGTAATTCTCCAATCTATACGAACGATTTAAATTAATTATTTTTGGAAGATAATCATTTTGTTCGTAAGGCTTGAAATTCAGTCTGCTAAAAATTGCCACGCGTTCGTATCCATTGAAATACGAATGGAATAAGGCTGTACCGGAAGTTATCTCCACTTACCTACATTGCTAAGTGTAAGCATTACTTTCAGATTAAATCACTGTGATCAGCTTTTAGCACAAACAAATTATTCTAGAAACAATTTCTTCACACTAAAGAGGTACATTTCTCCCAAGACAAGACAACATCGTTTTTCCCTGTTATGTTTTACCAAGACAGGACAACATCGTTTTTCCCAACTTCTGTCAAAAACAGACAAGAATATTTGCGTATCCAGTTGCATATTTTACTTGATGCGTGTTTACTTTTCATATGATTTCACATATAGAAAATTTACAATATTAATAATGTCACCCCCCCCCCCCAATTAGGCCTACATTAATTTCTTCTGCAAAACAAAATACTTGAAACTCCTCACAGTAGATATCACTGACGTTAATAGAGATTATACTTGATATAAAAAAATAACATCAGCTCAATTCACGTCTATTTATGAAAGTCTTTTACAGCTTATTAATTTGCACGCAATCAATGTAAACTTAATTAGAAAAAATACAGAAAACTGCAGGCAAATTTGTATAAAATCATACGGCACCTTTATTTTTCACAATCACCAATATCAGTAAGGTTTACCTAATAGTTGTTCATGAGACAAGGTCTTTAACAAGGAAAAACAAACAAACAAACAAACAAACAAACAAAAAAATACATGAACTTTATCACAACTCAAATTAGAAAAATAAATACAATATAAGACAGAACTCCTCTTTAAAAATTTAATTTCCTAATGACTACCAAAAACAAAGAAAAACTCGATCATTGACTATGGATTTCTCATACTCTTCTATTGTGCGTACCCTCTACTAGGGCGAGTGATAGATTTTTTTTACAGATATTCACAGATATGTCTCAAGCTAGATAGATTGTCATTTACAGCTGAACTGGGTTTAGCTGAAAATGACCATCTATCTAGCTAGAGACATATCTGTGAATATCTGTAAAAAATCTATCACTCACCCTGGTAGAGGGTATGTTGTGCGTGGGTTTCACGTTTGTAGATTTTACGGGAAACCGGTTATCGGTGAAACACCGATGGTGGATGTTGATGATCCAGTCGGCCGACAGAAGTTAAGAAATGATAATAAACAGTAAGTAATTTATGTGTACTGATGCTTTCAATAACTTCTAAATAACAATAGGGTTTTAAAACTGGCCTGCAGCTGCCGGCGGGCAGGTTGAGTCCTTCTATCGTCTCATTCAAAAACAGCACAAATACATGATAATCTCTCCTGTCAAGTGGCAGCTCCTTTGTTTGGAACGGTGGTCTGAAAACTCGCTTTGACGAATCATGGGGCGAGTTTCAATTGGGCACACTTTCTTGCGTTCGGAAAATTTAAATTGTGCCCAAGGTGAGTTTAGCGATCGTTCGTACAGAACGGAGACAAAAAATTCAGATTCAGAGAAAAAACGTTTCGTTCGTAATTATTGCGGCGTTCGTATAGATTGGAGAATTACCGTAATTCTAGAATGATTGTGTTCATTTAATCAGAAGCCAAACCAACAACATTTTGCAGTCATTTAAGTCAAATTATTTTCCTCGACAACTTTTGTGTGTAAGAAAGAGGTAGTATGCAGACTCTTTGGTTATGTTTTAAACTTTCTTCTTCAGGTAGCTTGTGTAGCAGGAATGACATTTGTCAAAATGGCGGCACCTGTACTGTATTGGTTCATGTAGAACAGTGTCTGTGTCCTGATGGTAGGTACCGTACCAGGGTATTTGGCAACATTTAGTCTAATCTTATATCTTTGGTCAGCCTTCAAAATGTATTTCTGCTAAATAGATGTTCAGCCAAATACATATATATTAGCCAGTTTTTTTATTATTCTAATTGATTATATTGCAAACAGGGTTTTATTGCTTTTATCAAATCATGTTTAGCATTGATGAAAAATATATCTGTTGCTATGGAGCCAATTAAGCTCAAAATGTAGAATAGCAGCACCAGTTAAATGTATGAATTACACTTCTTAAAAAATTTACATCATTGATTTTTCTGACATTAATTTTTTAAAAATTTACTAAAAGAATTAATTTTAGAGGTAATGTAGCCTTACATTTATAAATACATCTAAATACAATTTAATGGCTTGAATTATCTCTTTTTAATTACATTATGTTACAGGTTACACAGGGCAGTATTGTGAGGATACCATCAATCCATGTGATTCCAATCCTTGTTTTTATAACGGTACATGCATGCCACTAGGGGGTCTACAGTTCAGGTGTGACTGTTACTCAGGTAAATTGACCTCAACCTTAATTATTGCCGATGTTGGGAAACAATTTATTTTATCATTGCACTAAATTAAACTTGTGAAACCAGCCTGTTCCCTTTTTTGTCCTTTGTAAAACTGATCAACCTTGCTTAGTGAGCTTTGGAATCCCTTAAGATACTGAGCATTTTAAAAAAGAGAGTTGTAATGGAGGTCAAGCTTCCCATTTTCCTGAACTATGGAATCCCCTGATACCACACACCACACATTCTAAATATTTAAATAACAGAAATCAAGCTTCTTGTATTCCTGAGCAAAATGCAATATTACTGCATGTATAAGAGCTTTTCTCTTTCATCTCCCCCACTCCACTGTCCTAAAATATAAGGTGGAAATGCTTAGTTTTTTAAAGCATTTAATAGTAGCCTAACTGGTTACTGGAGACCAAATCATCTACCTTACACTCTGAATTCCAGTGAGCCAATTAAAAAATATATCCCCATATTCCTTATGAGATAAGCTTTTACCTTCTATAGTTCCTCTGGCTCTTGCATAATCTTTTATGACCTCTCTGGAAGAACATATACTGCTTCAAGCCAGCTGGCTGTTACTTTTACCAAATCATGTAGGAATGTATCTTATTTTGAAAAGTTGTAAATTATTTCCTGAGTATTATTTTGTTATCAAGTAGGTCAAACAGACACCTGCTGTTATTCATTTACTTTTACTGGTTACTTTACTGATTGTTAATTTTGTTGTTTTAAAATTTATATACATAGAAGTGGTCAAACTCTTTGCAGAATAAAAAAATTTTCATTTTCCATGATTGAATTTTCCTCAGCATATATTTAATTTATACTTCATACTTTGAAAGTGTTTTTTCTTTTAAAATTTTATTTTAAAAAAATGTTCTGTCTGCAGTCAAATTTGTACCAATTTCAATTAGACTTTAGTGGACAATTTTGTGAGAGAGAAACCAATCATTGTTTGTCAAATGACTGTCAAAATGGAGGAATGTGTCAAGATTTAGTTGGTGGATTCAAGTGTTTATGTCCATCAAACTCTATCTATTCTGGACCAAAGTAAGTCAGAAAAAGTAAAATGATAATAAAAACCAAACATTTAATAAACAAAACACAGTTCCAGTTGTTGTATCTATCATCTTTGCATAAATCTTTGACTAGCTAGTATTGTTTTAGTAATTTAGTCATGTATCTTTCTATCATGTGTACAAACTAAACTTTGAATGCTGATAAATTACATCACCACAGATGAAAGAGTTTTCTCATACACGTATGTATTATGGCACCATATTCCACATGCTAACACTTACTGTAATAACATTAAACTATATTTGTAGTTGATACATGTATATCACAAGTTAAGTATATGTATGTGCAAGATGTATATATATGTCTAGGTGCACAGACTCTACCCCAGTGTGTGATCAGCCAGCCAATGCCTGTCAGAATGGCGGGACATGTCAGCCAATCTTTGAAAACATCCGCAGTGTGTGTAACTGTGTGGCAGGATTCACTGGGAGGAACTGTGAGACTAACATAGGTATAGCACAAATAGGATTGTAGTCCCTTTCCCATGAGCTCATTGTTCACCTCTGCATTTACGTAATAACAAACTTTGAATTTTACTTGAATAGAATATTTTCTGTACAAAGATGTAAGAAAAGTATTTATTTTCTTTATCTTACTTTAAATGTAATGTAAGTTCACATATATCAATAGGTTTGACTATTTGATTAAAGCATTACTGTCTATTTCTGTTTCCTGAGAAAGCAAAATTCAATCTCAAGAAGTTCACAGCATTAAAATGTTCACCATTTCAGATGACTGCGAGGCCAACCCATGTCTGAATGGCGGGTGCTGTACAGACGGTGTGAATACACGCAAATGTAATTGCACGCATGGATATACTGGAGTCAACTGTGAAACTCGTCTAGATATGTGTGCTGGGATAACATGTGCCGGCAAAGGAACCTGTGTAGATGACTATACAACAGGGAGGGTAAAATGTTTGTGTGAACCTGGATATACTTCAGGTATGATAAATTTGCCTTAACATTTAAGTTCCCAGTTGTTTTACAGAACATAATTGCATAGCCAAGTAGAAAGCTCCCAGAAAAAAATTGTTAAGATTATGGTATGATATATATATATATATATATATATATATATATATATATATATATATATATATATATATATATATATATATATATCATATTGCATGTGTGCCCCATGTGATTCACAGGCAGTACAGTTTTTTGTTTGCTGGTTTATCATTGTATATACCAGTAAACCAGGCTGCATACTTATGTACTATTTAGTAGCATTGTGTAGTGTAAACACAGTATACATACACATATTTCTGTTTCTCTTGTTTGGCAATTAGTCCAAGTGTTTTTTTTTTGTGTGTAAAACTAGTAAAATGAGAAATTATATACTTGTTTTTAAATTAAATCTTACATATTTCAATTTGATAAAACAAGTAATCTTTGTTTTATTTTAGTGCCAGATGATACATGCAGGCAAATAAACCTGTGTAATGCTGAACCATGTGTGCGCGGCGCATGCACCCCAGGCGAGAACACATTCATATGCACATGTCCGCCAGGCTATAATGGAGCACGGTGTCAACATAACTTTGATGAATGTGCGTCTGACCCATGCTTGAATGGAGGCACCTGCATAGATGGCATTAATGGATATACATGTACATGTGCCACAGGGTTTACTGGTATGCAGTCTTATATGTAGTTCATTAAGCAAATCATTTTTTTAAAGTACGTGTCTCGGATTGTACCTTCATATGTTCTATTTATATGTTATATTTTGATTTAACAAAAAAATAATGAAATGTAATATATTTTTTTAAAAAAATATTTTCTTCATGCAAAATAAACTAATTTCTAGAACATTTGCTTTTCATCATCTTACATTTTTTAAATCAGATCTTAAAGATGAGAACCACCTTCAGTGAATTTTTTTCTAAAGTAGTGTTGGTTTTTATCTTATCAAACTGAGGTGGCAACAATAAGTGTTCCTAATTATTTTTCAGGCATCAAGTGCACCAGTAAGGTAGATTTCTGTGAAAAAAATACCTGTGACACTACGGGGACCCTGCGCTGTGTGGATATGGTGGACAACTATAGGTGTCACTGCAAACCAGGATACACTGGCGTCAACTGCTTTGTAAGTCAGGAGCAATTTCTGTGAATGTTTTCTTTGGTCATTTTTATGTACAGACACATCTGATTGGATTTGCACTCTGGAAGTAATGCAGATTTTTGTGAGGGCATGAATCTGTATGGTAGTTATATTTTTTACGAATGTCCATGTTACATTTTTAATTTTTTTTCTGTACATTCCACAGCTTTACTGTCTTTTCAGTCACTGAGTGGAAGGCATTGAGTACAAAGCAAAATAAAGCTGGTGATTATTTGAGTATGTTGGAAACAAGAGGAGGCATGTTAACCTGTTATTCTGATTGCATTCAGCGAGAGTTCCTGTTGTGTTGATCTACATATGACCAATTAGTTTCCATGGAAATGAGCCCTTTAAGTTTGTTTATGGCTGACCTATGATATAGTTTAATTACGTCTTGGCATATGCTGACTTTTTGTTTGAAACTAGTAGAAATGGTTTATGTACTTTACAGAGAATCTATACATATTCTTTATATTATCTTTTTTTGATGACATTGTATAGCAGGTGAAGATTATCTTTCCCAAAACAGCAATCCTCATATACCACCTTACATTACTTGAAGATTATACATAATGCTATTCTGTATTGTTATTAACAGAGTATAATGATGTTATAGAGCTCATGAGTGCTATTTAAATGTAAAAAGGGTTTGCATATTGTAAGAAACTGACTTTTAAAAACATAAAATTATCCTGTTAAATATAATTTTTCAAAGGTAAATTGATGAAGATACAGTCACATATTTTAATACAAATATGCTTGACCTTTTGAGCATTAAATTGTGACCCCCTAAGCACCTGCAGTTTCTCAGGTACTACACTTTATATTGTCTTCTTTCAGACTGACATTGATGAGTGTGCCAGTAACCCATGCTTTCACCAGGGAACCTGTGCACAAGGAGTTAACAGCTTTAACTGTACCTGTCCCCCAGGCTGGGAGGGAGACAGGTGTGAGAGGATGACAGACATTTGTACCAATACTACCTGTGGACGAGAGGGTACCTGTATCAACCTCTTTAATGATTTCTTCTGCAAGTATGTCCTTATAACACTGTTTAACATATGAATGTCAGATTAATTTAAGTATCTAATGGACATCTACAAAAATATGGAAATGAAGGTGTAGAGCCTCTGTTTTAATATTATATTAACTGAGTAAGTTCATGTATGTATTCAAATACCAATAAATACTTGTGTTTCAGCTGCACTGCTCCTTTCTATGGTCGTACATGTAATGAATCCCCTGACGTGTGTGCTATAGCTAACCCATGTATTAATGGAGGAACTTGTGCTGTCTGGAATAACTCCACTAGATGTCACTGTCCACTGGGTAAGTCAAAAATTGATACCTCTTATGTTTTATTATGTGATAAATTTGGTTTGCTCATTGATTGACTTTTACACAATACAATCTGTTGTAAGTGGCATCATACATTGAAAATAAATGCTTAGCACCTTTTGTGAATGTAATTTACTTTTTTAAAGAAATAATATTTGAGCAGTAATTTATTAAATAAGGAAATTAAGACCTTCACCCTGCCCTTGACCTTTCAGGTTACTATGGTGATGGTTGCCAGCTAAAGCGTGACTATTGTCTACCCAATCCTTGCAGACACCAAGGCACATGTACTGTGGTCGGGTTAAATTATACATGTGCCTGTGTTCCAGGTAGAGAGAAATGTGAAAAACTATTATTTTTTAAAGATATTAATTTGTTGTTCATGTACATATGATAATTTTATATAGTAATCCTGTAGGAGGTTTTCTTAAAATAGCATTTTTCCTCTTCATGAATCAATGTTCAAACTTTCCTGACTGCTGGATTTGATAAAAAAATTTAATATTTGTTAGTTGGCAATAAAGGTATCTGCCTTTTTTCCCACCTCCTGTTCCCACCCCAGATCATATAGTTTAGCTATATAGTTGGATCCTGGTCTTTAACCTCCATTATTCCATTCTCTTTTGGGTAATGATGGCAGAAATTGTGAGGATAAAATAGATTGTATAAGAATTGTTATTTCTTAGGTTATGATGGCAGAAATTGTGAGGATAAAATACATTGTATAACAATTGTTATTTCTTAGGTTATGATGGCAGAAATTGTGAGGATAAAATAGATTACTGCCAAACCATGCCATGTCCAGCTGGTGCTGAGTGTATCAATGATGTCACCTCCAGGACCTGTATATGTCCTTTAGACAAGACTGGACCACAGTGCAACAAAGGTGAGACAATAGTGAAATGTTTATAGAAGTATAAAAATTACAGAAATATCTAGAAATAGCATTATCTGTTAAGTCTATTTTGGATTCTTTATAGTTCTGCAAATTTATACATATATGTATATTTTTTCTTCAAAATCCATCTTTACTACCGAAAATACATATTCTACTTTGGAGATAGATAAGAAGTAGTTCAGAATTCACACATGTACACAATTCCTTGTGTCATAGATACTTAAATATATATTTATTTAAGTGGAAATGGATTTGATGTAAACCATTCACTCTACATGTTAATTCACGTACACCTGGTTCATTCATGCAGAGACTTTTCCCCTTCTTACAAGTACTGTACATACATATGTAGNAGAATGCGTCTAGATCGTTCATACACGTACTAGTAGAGTCATTGATGGTAAATGTTCTTTTGTCAGGGGTTCATTGGTATAAAACTCTGTTAGCTACCAGTAGACTTATGAGCCTTCAGGTAAATTAACTCTTTGTGTAGAAAATATGTTTTATAGAATAAGAATGCTGGGCATTCAAGCTTGGTTCTATTCACATAATCAAATATAATCCCAGATCTACCGGTATATGCCAAGCACCAGATAACAAGTCTGAGGAACTTGCCAAAAACACAGAGATGTCAGCTGCTAAATGATGATAATTTGCCATGTTTGTAGTGTCATAGAGGTTTGTTTATGTGTATAGATCTGGGTGGTGTTTGTGTTATTAAACAGCTGTTGTTCACCTGGTATGAACTGGGTCAAGTTATGTGCACCTTACCTGCACCCAGAATATGTTTGTTCCTGATGTTGACAGTAGTCTTTGTCATTATAAAAAGCATTCCACATTACATTGGGTCAATTAACATTAAATGCTGCCTTTGTTGCTGGATTTGGCTCTGAAGAAGCTTTAATTATATTATTTTCTGCTATAGATCTAAGGGTAAGTCATGTAGGATTTTGCCATGCAAGTTTATAGCAGGCAGGTGTGCCAAATTAGATAACATGAGCTACTTGTTAGTCATATTGTTCAATTTTACTTATTTTATTAGATTTAATTTTTATGTTATTTAAGCAAGTTTTATGTGAAATTGCCATATAAGAAATGTATTGAAACTTGTGTATGAATTATCAGAAGATTATAGATAACCCAATAAATGTCACTGTAATAATTAAATGTCACTGTAATATATGCATCCCATGCTCAATAAACTTATTTATTATAATTAAGAATCAGTGAATTTTCCCTGGTATAGTTTTTTTAAAAATCAATATATCTAGGACACAAAAGGATAGTGTATAAGTTGCCATGGTTTTACCTTAATATGCCGTGATTATAAACACAACAATATAATGGCCTTGGTAGTGATTGAAGGAATATGACTAAGGAAATGGCATATTTTCTTTAAGGTGCATCTATATCCAGAACATCAACTCAGAGACTGTTACTAAGTGAGAACTCTCAAGAGAAGGCAGAGCAGGCAGGTACAGTACTTTTTTCTACTTGGATATAGCAGCATATGAGCATTGCATGCACATATTACCAGTTTACATTCTGCTTTTATCCAACCTAGCAATATTTTAATATGTGTCTGAGAAGAAATTTCAAAAATAACTTCCACTGAATAAGTCAGGGAGTAATTACTAATTATGTGTCAGGCAAAAATTATTGTTTGTTCCACAGGCACCACATTTTACAAATGTTTTATGAACTGCCTTTCAGAGAAGAAAGCTGCATTGTTAAATTGGATTTTATAAATTGCATTTTCCCTCTGTGACAGCTTTTCTCTCTATTGCTTTTAACTCTTTATGTTCAGTATTGATTATTATAATATTAAAGGAGAGAAAAGAATTGTTCTTATTATAAAGTATCTGAAGCTGAATTTGTGCATTATTGAGCCGTACTGTCTAATTTGTCATGTTTCGATACATATGCTTAAAACCTTGTAACAGAGAGAGCCTGTAAATGTGACTGAAAAAGAGCTGAAACTTGCTAGTATATACAGGTTAAGAGTTTTACCAAAGGGGAAAGATGTTGCAGAAGATACAGATACTTTGACATAACCTCAACAGATGAGGTTATTTTGTAGAGTCTACTTCAGAGGTAACTTTCCACTTAGCATCCCATTACATCTGGATAAGAACAGATTTTAAAAAAGTAATGTATTTTTACGAGGTCATTGTGTTTCAGTTGTCTGGAGGGAAATAAAATCCATATTTCAACATGGCTACTAGCCAAGTAGCTGCTAGTCACCAAGCTGACGTTAACAAAAATGAGGGAAGAGGAACGACAGCCACAGTACCTACAATAGCAAAACCACATGCTAAGAAAGGAAGACTCTCAGTAAGATAAATATAAGACTGAGAAGAATATGAATAGTTTAATATTAATTTATCCTTGATGTTTAAATCTGGATATTGTACAAAGTTTGATGTTAATATATGCACTAATTCAAATGGTATAGATTTTTTTATTTATTAAAGGATGCATGACTGGAGCAAGGAGGAACTATATTCAAATGCAAAATAAGCTTTTATGCTTGTCTCTTTGTTTTATTCCCTATTTTATGTGAAAGGTAAATAATTTCTTTTGAGTATTGATGTACTGTAAGAAATTCACACAGGATAAAATGAAGCAAGTTCTTTGGCAAAAGTAAATTCTGTGACATTAGCAATAATCTTAAATTCATCCCAAGTTTCTATGTATGAAACTGCGTCACTTTGAAGTCCACAGCAGCTGCCTTTTACAATATATAATATGAAACGTTGTTATATTTTCAGTCTTCCTGTTCAGTAGACAGCATCCACCATATGCATGAACCCACAGACCACATGCTCCTAGCAGTAACCAATCACATCTTCAGAAAAAACTGGCACAGTCTTGGAGAGAAGCTAGGCTTCACTCCAACAGAGATGAAGAAATATGAAGATAGATATCCTACTGATGAGAAACAGCCAGTACGCAACATTTTATCATGTTTAACTAGGATACTTCATATTTACGGAAACTTTTTCTTTTATTAAGATTTTGCGTTAGGCTTTTTTGTGTATTTTTCCCCCTTCTTTCTTTTTCTCCTTTAATGATTTACTTAATATTTATATGAGAGGCAGCAAATAAGTTACTTTATCAGGTGTATTTTTATTTAAATGGTTTGTCTACTGCAATGTCTTCTGAATGGTGTAACTCAATCATTCCAAAGTTTTGTGCCGTTCTTTTTATTAAAAAAATTCCAATCTGTCTGCAGGTGTTTTTGATGTTAAGAACATGGCGAGACAGGCAGGGAGAATCGGCAACAACGGAACATCTGGAAGATGCTTTGGCTTCAGTGAGATTGTCTGACGTGGCTGAAGACATTCATGAGCTCTACTGCCTAGAAACTGTGGATGAGTTGTAGAAAGGCTGCCCCCTTCTAAGGCAGAAGTCCAGCAATATGTGTAAAATACTTGTTCTGCGCAGTTCACATGTAACCTTTTTTGCAGCACATAACTGTGTTAAAGTGGTGTTTAATGAGATAAAAGTTATGGATGCAAAACTGAATATGTTTTTCAATGTTTCAATGTTGTATGGTATGAGTAGTTGACTCTTTCAATATTGCTTCATATTCTTTCAGGTAGTTCTTATTTAAGGTTATAATATTACTGTTATTTTTGATTGAGCTTCACAGATGTTTTTTTTCTACCATTTTGGATGCTAAATTAGTTAATTTAGCCATGAAAAAAGTTTTTTTTTGTTTCATATTTCTTTTTTTTCATGTAATTTTGTATTGCTGCCATTTTCAGGCTTTTCTGGTTGTCGAAACTTTCACCCAAACTGAATGGCTTTAACTTAGTTCTCATCGTCTCTTTCAACAAGTTTTTGTTTTGGTTTTTTGAAATTAAAATGATGACCTGAACTGTATTTAAAGAAATTTGGACATACTTACGTCAGGTAAAACTAGGTAACCTCTGACTGGTGCTAATGTTTGATGAGCTTCACCTCTATATTCTCACTGCTTTGTAATGTGCCATTCTGTGTAGTGTACATAACCACTTCAGTTTATATCCCAACTTGTCTCTTCATAGAAGATAATGTATGCTTTATTTCAGATGCCAAAATGAAATGAAAAAAAAGGGCATATTAAGCCAGTGTCTTTATGTTGATTTGTACATTTTATGTTGTTGTCAGAGAAATCTATCCACAGTCTGCTGCAAACAGTGCCATTATTCAGAACTTTTGTATTTTGTACACAGGCTTGTAATTTGGAGTTACATTTTCCATATTTGGGTCAGGTTATTGAAATATATTTCTGGTTATTGCAAAGCATTTTTTAAATTATGTAAAAGAGGTTGGGGTACTAAGTACAAAGTTTGTTTTATTCTAATAATAATAACTTTTTTGTTATTGAATATCAAAAGCAATGCTCTTTACAATATGACAAGTTGATGTCAAAAAGTGGTTGTATTTTTTTATATACATGAAAATTACTATATTAATATAATAGACCAGTCCCCACTGAGTGAACTTTACTATCAGTATAAAAAGGAGGTAGAAAATTTCAATGGCATGCAGTCTACTTAAACAATAAATGTGTATGTAAGATGATACAAGAATATCAACTAGTAACTGAAGCTATATTCCTTGATCTCCATGTTAGTTTTCTGTTTTTTAACAATGGTAAGTTTTTCAGTTACGCTTCTGTATTTTGTTTGAAAAATGCCTTTTCAAAAAAATAAAAATAAATTATGGTTAAAGAAGACCCATGCTTATTAGTTCTTTTGAACCCTGTTTATGACATGGTTTAAACCATTATATTCATCCAGAAAAAGAAGCAGTTCATGGCCTTAATTCGAAGCGGGGGAAGTTAAAACTTTCAATTTCCTGTCAAATAGCTTAGACTTGTGTCTGAAGCATGAAACTAAAACCACAGTTAAGTCCTTTTAACATCCCACAGTAGTTTTTGGTATTGCACAGATTAGACTCTAAAGTGAGTTTACTTGCACAAAGGGGAAGGGTTACTAAATTTTCATTACCTCAATGCACCAGTCAAATTTAGTCCAGATAACCATTTTGAGGGCAAAGATCAATTACGTAACAGCCATGTAATGAACTTGTCAATCTTAAATTGATACAGAAAACTACCATAGGAAGTGAGAGAAAAGGACCAAAAACTTGACTAGTTGCAGAGCCTTAAATACCCCTCTGACTCTATTCAGATAATCCGGCTTAAATGTCCGTCCCCCCTACTACAAGCTGTAAAGGTGTAATTAACTTTCGTGCCCGCTCGGATGACAGCTATTTAGCGTGAGCCCCCAGGGAGTTAGGACGATCTAGTTTGGATCGATCTAATCTCTGGGAATGGGGTCTATGATATATTTGTGCCACATGTCACTGCTGCACTACATCATTATATAACAGCTGTGTGCAAGCAACTGGTTCACACTTCCTGTTTAAGGCCAAGTGTTCAATGACGTCTTAGTCTATATAGAATTACACTAATTTATTTCCTTAAAGTGCACTCCAGTGTATATTTTCATCTTCAGTATTCATCAAATTAAAAAAAAAAAAGCATTACAATCATTCACCTGCCATTGTATAAAACTGTCTTCTTTGTTATGGATTTTCATTTGCCATTTTTCATGAGTGGCTTAAACCACAATGTATCATACACATCTGTCCTGTAATAATGTAATCTCTGGTCCACATTTCCAACTGTCATTTCCCATGACTGACTAAAAACTAATAATGCAGCATATAATATTTAAATATCATCTTTGTGCTACATTTTTGATTGCCATTTCCCATGAATGACTTTAAACCATATTGCAGTATCTGGATATCCCAACACAAGATAGTGTTGGTGATGTCAACTGCAGAAATTACTGCAAAAAGTCACTAAAATATTAGTAAATACTGGTTATTAGCACAGACTACAATCTTATAAAGGCATGTGTTTAACAAAAACTCATTATTGCATTACAAAAGGTCGACTTTGAAAATTGCATTTATGAAAGGCTTAATTTGCCACAGAAGTAATTCTGACACTCATTTTATTTAAGACATGACCCTTTTTTTCCAATCCTTGTTGAAAGCACCAAAGCAAGGTTGAAATCAGGTTCAGTAATCATTTAAAATGTCTGTACACTTTGCAGCCTCTGTTTGGATACAACTCACGTTGTGTGCATATTGGATCTTCTTTTGGCTTTATCCTGTACAAATGAAAAAAAAAAAAAAGAAAAGCAAAATGTCAAAGTTAACAGGTGAAATATATTATATTATATTTTTAGGTCATTTTAAAATATGTTCACACTTGAATGTGTGCATGAATCCATGTTCACACATAGCTTATTAATTAATTAGTTAATTAATTAATTAATTATATCTTAGTGGTTTCCATCAATAATGAATATTTATTTCTGCATATTTTTCACTTGCATTCTCGGAAAATCTGCACTTGTAAACTATGTATGCCTAATTTCAGTTAAATACAGAATGAGTAACAACTGCAATGGCAAATGTAGGACCAGTAAAATGAAGCCACATGGCTTATTAGTCAGTGATTGCATTGTTTGGATACTAAAGTTTGCACAATGCAACACTTGCAACTGGAAAATGGGGCAAGGCTCTTATAATTACAGACTGCTATCTGGTGATTGCACAAAGACTTGCTGTTATAGAACCAGTCAGCATATTTAGATATCTATTCAAAGTATGCACTTGACTCAGTCATTATTTTGGGATGTAAGAAAAAATAGAAAGAAATGGCACTATGGTCTTATGACTGGGGGGTCTAGGCCGTTCAAAGCAGGAAACCACAATGAAAAATTATACTTTTAAATCAGGGGGAAAATCAGTTTTTGGAACTCACCAATTTCCACTTAATTATGTTCATCCACTCTGAAGCTTCCTGATCAGAGGCAGCATAAATATAAAATGTGCGCCATGGAAACACCAATCTGTAATGAAGTACAAACAATTACATTGTAAATGAGGAAAAGATGTGAGCAATAATTTGGTTATTGCCACCATAGGTTGTTTTAAATCTATTATACTGTTGAATTCTATGTACATACATTAACATACTAGTACAAAAAAAAAAACAAAAACACTTAGCATTTGTCAAGATATATCTCTTTTTTTTTTGTAATCCAATACCCCTCCAAATAAGGTTGAAACCGAACACATATCAAGTTGTTATATAAGTATTAAATATGAAATTAACCCAGGGCAGTCATCTCATACAGACCAATTATTAGGAAAAAAATGTGCACACTAAGCAGCAGTTTAGACCTGCTGTGTTTTGAAAAGCAATCAGCACATTGTTGAAATTAATTTCAACAAAAGCTACTTTATAATATCACTCAAGCAACGTATTTTCTTTAAACTATAATAATACTGAAAAATTAAAAATAAACACTATTGAACCCATGATATTTATTGGTGTCTATTTTTTTGTACTGGTATGTTAATGTATGTACATAGAATTCAACAATAGTGTTCTCTCAAAAGCCATTTCCCTAGCCCTTATCTTTACGTAAACTCATTTTTCACCTGAAGCAATATCTGAACTCTGTTTTCTCACCTAAAGCAGTTTGATTTTCCTTTTGTGTCATCCTTTTCACATTCTTTGCATTCCATCAAGTCCAAGCTTCTAATTGGCTGTTTGTCTGTGCTATCTTTAAAATATTTCAAATCTGTCTTCCTCAGAACAAACCATCTTGTCTTCCATGACTAAAATTGAATAAATCAATGCTATAAAAAATATTCTTTGTCAGTAAGAACAATTAAGGAACAGGAAATCAGTACTGGTACCGTCACATGGAACGCCGTATGTACAAAAAAGATGAAAGTATCATTTTGATCAGAAATTTTTTTTTGCGTGGTGCTCACATTATTTTGAGATCGTCACTTTCATCATTTTGAGAGAAAGTATTTTCTACAAAGTTGTTTCATCATTTTGCATGTCGAGTTTATCGTTTTGAGATACCGTCATGCTTTGTGCGAGATGATGCAATACCAGGGGTCGTCTCATAACAAACGGTAGGAAAAGGAACTAACACATCCAGGAATGGGTCCCGGTTCACCGTCAACAAAAAGTTGTTAGTGCCTGGCTACAAGCCTTATAAGTACCCCTTCGTCTCTGAATTTGGCCTTCAGGTGTCCCAAATCAGTTTCCTCCAGGATTTGATCCATATCTACCACATTGTGGCCTGGCACTAACAACTTTTTGTTCTGGAGGTCCTTGAATGGCGGTGCATAGTGATTTCCATTTTGTCAGAATATGAAAAAATGGCCTTTTTTTTCATTTGATAAATAGTGAAAATGAAATAAAAAATCAACCTCGATTTTCGTTTTTCCTTTAAAAATTATTTTTCGTTTTTTTTTTCCACTTTTTTGTGACATAATAAAAACAAAAATGAAAGATTTCAAAACGTGATAGAAAATAGAAACATCCACTTATGTCCCATGTCTAGAGAGTGAAAAATATTAGAAAATACGCCCCTTTCTCCTTCTGTGAAGAATTGGAATATCGAAACATTCACGTCCGTTTTTGCATTTCCATTCATAAAATGAAAATCAGAAAAACAAACGGACTTCCGTTTTACTATTTAAATCGAAAATTGAATAATGAACACTTTTTGATCCTGTCATTTCCTCAAAGATTTGATCCTGTCATTTCCTCAATTTCACCTTTTAACAAAAGAAAGCACAAAAACAGTCGATATTCATATTTTCTATCATATCGGGGATCTGTTAATGTTGTATTTTAAATTTTATGGTAAAACATAGAAAACAAGGGCAATTCGTGTTTTTCCATTTTTCATTTTAAATGGAAAAATGAAAATTGAGTTTCATTTTCCACAGGGGCGAATCCAAAGATATTTTCTGACAGGCTTCCAAATTATCTTCATTGATCCAGCCTCCATTTTTGACCATCTTCCGACAAAAAAATTAGATGCCTGTCAATGTAAACTTGAAAATCTGACTGTCTTCCAGAAGACAACCTAAATCTGCCCCTGTTCCATTACATGTTGGCCATTTCTATCAAATGGAAATGAAAAACGGCCGTTTTTTCATTTTCTGACAATATGGAAATCACTTTGCTCCCCCCCCATTCTGTTTGCCCCGCTATACACCGACGCCTGGATGCGTTAGTTCCTTTTCCCACTGATTGTATTGAGACGACCCCTGGTATTGCATCATCTCACACAAAGTATGTTGGTATCTCAAAACGATAAACTCGACATGCAAAATGATAAAAGACTTTGTAGAAAATACTTTTCTCTCTAAATGATGAAAGTGACGATCTCAAAATGATGTTAGCAACGCGCAAAAAAAATTTTCTGGTCAAAATAATACTTTCATCTTTTTTGTACAAACGGTGTTCCATACTATCAAAATAAGTTCTTATTCTGATTTACTTTCAGTTTACAAATTAGCCCTGTCATTGTTGATACTTTGTCATACCTAAGATCACATTAAGAAAATTATCTTCAAAAACACATGATTTCAAAGAAATGTTTAATGGGAACCCTATGAGTAAATGTGTAAAGGAAAACATCATTGTAAAATTGTTGTAAAATGTTGTTAATTGTTTCCAACAGTCTTGAACATGGAGGTTACTCTGGGCACCAAAGCAATATATATATATATATGGCAGAGTATCAACAATGAGAGAGAGAGAGACTGATTTCTTTAATGCTATTCAATCTGTCCATGGAAAATGCATTTGCCAGTTGGAAGTGAAAAAAGTGCTTCACACATTCAACACAGAAATGATGTAAGGGCCATCAGACAGTGTGGATACCAGTCAGTCTACCATACCTTGAATATATCCCCTTGTTTGGTAAGGTAGCCTTCCTTGGTCCCCACCTGAATACAGAACTTGATGTAAAATACAGCAGTTCATGTGGCAATGCCAATTATAAAAACAACTCTTTTGTCAATCCAGTTATCTAATGCAAGCAACATCCTGATATTTGAAAATAAAATTGATGTCTTTTCATATAATTTGTTGGGAGTAGAAGCTAGGGGTATTATTAGGTCATCGTGTAGAAAAAAGAAACACAGAAAAATTATTATTAATAAATAAATAAATAATATTTTACCTCAAAATTTGGCACTGAATTTGTACTTTGTCGTCCATGCATTCCAAACTCAGCATGGACATGAACCTGGTCGTACGTGTCGTGTTCCTCCACATCTCTGGGATATGGATATTTTAACACAGTCAGTACTCCTGAAAATAGCATGTTACATTGTCACTGGAACTGACTGCATTGTGAACCAGAACAATCGGTTTCAGACTATTATCTTTTCAAACGTTGAATTTCCACCCTAAAAATGACCCCTCAACATGCACACCCCCAGGTACCATTTTTACCTTCTTATGTTACTTTTTATGTACAGACACAGTGGTTTTATGTCTGTATATGTGCCATCTTTGATATCAGATAATCATACAGTAATACTTGATGGATTGTGTATATTCCAAACAGCAGTGCACTACGTCTTCAATGTTTGAAATGTATTATTAGCAGTATCATGTACATTATTTTTTTTATAGTTTAGCTTACGTCGATATTGCAAAATATATTTGGTATAATGTAGGTCATATGCTTTTTAAATAATTTTCTAGTATCAATTAGAAAAATTTGTGCAACTATTGGTTACAAACCTGACTCCCCTCCTATTAATGGCTGGTTTTCAAAATGCTTCACAAATTCTTCTGAAGTGTTGAATGTAGCCATTCCAAACTTTATACCATCACTCTCACAGTACACTGGGTAGTGCTTTACAGCATCTTTTGTCCTGGAATTTTGTCAAGTACTTGTAAAGTACTACTTAAACATATCTTAATATATGGAACTTTTAAATATATCTTGATGTTTATATAAAACTTTGAAACAAAAGTTGTTATACCACATGGAAACGAATGACTTTCAGTTTTATTCTTTGTCTTCCTCTTACTATCATTTTTACACATATATGTGTACTCATGTATTCAGTGACCTTTTAAACAATTCATCAATACTCATGGTCTTTTATCAATCTTAAATATTAACACCGGTATATCAAAATTGGCAAATAAGTGATATAACTGTTTATGTCATGAAATTGCGAATCATGACAAATGTAATGTAATTAAACCTTATCAGCTGATTATCAAGTAATGCAAAGCAGAGATTTTCCACATTACTATTATACCTGCTGAGGTAAATCACGTATCAAAAGAAAAAAAAATGAAATTATCACAAAATACCTTAGTTATCTGAATCAATCACTCTTATCATCATGTTGACTGATAAATTACCAACACTATTCTGCAATTTGCACAGGTCCCCATTTCAAATTCAATTCAAATCCCCATTCAAAAACTTCATTACTATTATAATTTTATTTCTATAAAGCCTTTAATTCAAAATGTTATTTCATATCTCACAGAGAATAAAATGAAATTATTACAGTGTTGCATCACAAAGGGTAATTTTTACATGGCAGGGATAACAGTTAGCATACCTGACAGAGAGAGCGAACTCTCTCTCCTTGGAGCTTGGTCTCATCAGGTATGTCCCGTCTGTTCCATTGGTCATCAGAATACTCTCTGCCACATGTCTGTTGACACCAGGGTGATACCATCTACAACAAACAACATACAAAATAAACATAATAATAATAATAAGAAGAAGAATATGGGGCTTATTTATCTCTTGCAATGAACATTTCTGTACCAGACAAATAAAAAGATACCGCACAGTAAATACTATGACCTGAAAATGAACATGACAATTTTTTTTCCAAATCATCATTCAAAAACCAATGAGGCAGAATTATGGCAATGGGGAGTACACGTACTTGTATATACATGTATACTCTGGCATATCAATATACTGGTATGTAATATCATAATCAAGGGGGAGTAATATGACACATGGACGCAACAATGTGGGGGCATAAAAAAAATGACCTGGTGACATTTGCATCAAAGAATTGCAATGGTAAGGGTACCAAGCATGTAAGGCTGAAAATTGGGGCAAATAAAAGAATAACTCATATATCACGTACAGACTCCACTCGTCATTAGCTAAGTCCTCTGATTCACAAGTATGATATTGTTAAAGAAAAAAATATCAACACTCACTCAATCTTCTCAATGATTTCTTCTAGTGAGCCCATGGCACACCCCCAATGTGTACATAAAAGTTAGTAGATACTCGTATCTGTGGTCAAATATTGCACGAGTATATTATCAGTAATATCTCTCTGCTGTACAGTACTGGGGCAGCATATATGCCTTGTATTTTCAGTGATGTTGACGATACACCCTTGATCCCAACTATGAATAAGATCGAATCCTCTGTGTCTTCTTGTATCTGTTCTCAACACTGCGTCTTTTGCTGCTACAGGTTGTTGATGAGCCTGATTTGACGAATTTACAAGGCAGCACTGCCAGCAGTGTCCACAAGTTCCTTTTGACTAGCTTGCACTGAACTAGAACCGTTTTCTGTCATCAGTCTGTTTCCACTGTTTCTTCTTTTATCAACAGACTATTACCGATTTACGTTTGCCATTACCAATATTACTGTGACTAGAACAGTGTTCTAGCACGGTGTTCTGTTGGAAATCCCTGGTTCTAGGAAGCACCCACGAATGAAGTTTACAAACCGGACAACGTGACCTACTTTACAGAAGTGAATGCAAAGAAGTGTTTGATTGGTCCATGCAATGCACATCTGCAGGTGTCATGGCGGACGTCGAAATGCGTCAAAATTCTTTGTCAGAATCAGCGCTAAAAAACGAAGGCAGATTATCAGAAAGGGGACAAAACTTGGAGCTGGCTGATAGTATGGAAAACGGAGAAAGCGTCGACGGTTTCCCCGATGATTCGAGGATTGGTATTGGAGATAATTACCTTGTCAAACGTTCAGATAACACTTGGCGTAAGTATTGAAAACATTAACGACGGAATAAGGTATTATTATTATTGCAATACTTATTATCTTGTTGGCGGTTTTATACACGTTGTGATGGGTTCATTAAAACCACTTACTCTTTAAACCAACGATTTCACATTTTAAATGTGGTCCAGAATTTTCAGCAGATTTATCTGAGATTCTAAAAAAAAAATCTGACTAAAATATAATAATTTCTGTTGCCTTTTTGTTTTAGTGAATTGTTTTCACTGTAGGATGAATTTATTAAAATAATTCCAGGTGACTTTTCCCTTAGCAGCTTCAATAGCTGTGACAGACATCTAAGCTGCTTAAATTGATTGCAATTTAGCAGGAATCCCCTCAGGAGATAGTTAAATCCACAGTTAGTATGAGAGGGTCTGGGAATGGTCCCTTATTTCACAAAGTTTGGCCCTGGCAGACAATTGGGTCTTGTCACTGTGCATAAAGTCATGTACAAACCATCCATACATGGTTATAACTAAAAAGTCTTCACTTTGGCTTGACTAAGAAGGTCTTTTTTCTTTATCAAAATAGTCATATGATCTGGTAACCAATAGAAATATTGAATATACATTTAAGCTTAATTTGTCACTGATGGCAGCATATTATATTTTTTCTCACAACAGATGCTGCAGAGGTCATACAGACCAGATCAAATGAGCAGGCAGGAGGAAGATATGAGTACTATGTGCATTACAAAGGATGTGAGTTCATTTTCTAATTAAGTACAGAGCCCAACGTTTAGTGTATTTGCTCTTTTTCATTTTTTCATGACTTTTAAATAACATAATTTTATTTATATTGACAGTAACTATATTTATAAAACACTATCATGTTTATTGTTTAAATATTAAGTGACTTTAGAATATATGTTTTGCATACAAGATTGATTTTACAATTTAGTAAACAGAAGATTGGATGAATGGGTTGAAGTGGACAGGTTCAACTTGAAGGCCCGCTTGGAAGAGGACAGCAAGCCAGAAGTAATCTCTGCTGCTGCCACCACAGATCTGACAGATGGAACAGACAGGAAGATCACCAGAAACCAGAAGAGAAAGCATGATGAGATAAACCATGTGCAGAAGGTAGCATAAGTAGTAATGTATTTGTTGATATTTGTGGTAAAAGTTCATTCTCAGGTCTATCTGCATTAACGTCATCTGTCACCATCTTATCAGTATTAAAGTGCACTTAGAGGGGCCAAAAATTGAAAGACTTTTCAAACGCAAAAAAGTTGTATCATTTCCAGTTTTATAGTCTATTATTTGAAAGACTCTTGGTTAGTTTTAATATTTGACTTGAATTCTTCCCCAGACATATGCTGAAATGGATCCAACTACAGCAGCTTTAGAGAAGGAACACGAAGCAGTAAGTCTTATATTTTCTATTTGGGTCATAATTATATTAGTTATAGTTACTTTTCCCCACAGTGTTTGAAAGGTGTAAATGACGCACAAAAGAGTGAACACGGGTTTACTACTGAAGTATCAAATAAAATGCTAGTGTTCCTGATTAAAACATGTACTCTATTTTTTTATTGAAATGCAAACAATCATTCTTTCTTTCATACAGATTACAAAAGTGAAATATATTGACAAAGTACAGATAGGAAAGTATGAGATAGATGCCTGGTATTTCTCCCCCTATCCGGAAGAATACGGCAAACAGTCTAAACTCTGGGTGTGTGAGTACTGCCTGAAGTACATGAGGCTAGAGAAGTCTTACAGATATCATCAGGTAAAGATCTGAGATCACAATGCTGTGATATGTTGGAGATTTTGATGTGTTAATGTTCAGAGGATATGAATATGTCAGTTTCTGTTCAGACATTTAAGACCTTTGAAGATGCACATAGTTCACGTCATATTAAGGGTATGGGGGAGGTAAATTTTAGGTTTACCATGATTTACTTTCATACAATAAAGTTGAATAAATTAATAGAAAGTGTTTTATAGACTGAAATGTTGTGTGGGTAAATTGTGGTAGCACATACACAACACCTAACACAAGAAATGGAAATAATAAATGAATAAAACTCTCACTATTAATATTTGTTTATTTTTTTCAGAGTCAGTGTTTCTGGAGACATCCTCCTGGAAAAGAAATTTACAGGAAAGGAACAATTTCACTCTTTGAGGTAGATGGAAAAGACCACAAGGTAATATTGTTTTGTTTTTTTTGGTACACAAAGATTTGCATAAATTGTTAAAAAATATGTGGTATTTAGCTGGATAATATTAGGAAATAAAACAAGCACTTTACTACCTGAAAATGAGATCATATCATATTTTGGTAAACAAAGATTTGCACATAATTATTATTAAAGTTAAAAAAAAAAGGATGGGTTTATCTTAAGCTGGATATAAATGAAACAATTATATTTTGTTCTTTCAAAATGAGATCTAATGTAAGTTTGCTACTGTTGCTGTGTCTCATGTGCATTCTGAACATTTTCAGATATACTGCCAAAATTTGTGTCTGTTAGCCAAACTGTTCCTTGATCACAAGACACTGTACTTTGACGTGGAACCTTTCTTATTCTACATCTACACTGAAGTTGACAGACAAGGCTGCCACCTGGTGGGATATTTTTCAAAGGTAGATACATCACATGATCAGTGTTAATATTTATTAATTTGTCCCCCCCCCCCCTTATTTCAGTTTTTATTAAAAACATGAATAATACTTTCAGTCAGCAAAAATCTTTTTTTAATTACATCAATTCATTTCATACATGTTCCACTGTTGAAATAGAGTATAATTATACAGCTTAGACTGAGAGCAATGTGGTAAGAAGTTTTCGAATCTTACACAAGTAGCTTTGTATTTAGGAAAAAGAATCTCCAGATGGAAACAATGTTGCCTGTATCCTCACTCTCCCTCCATTTCAAAGGAAAGGCTATGGGAAATTTCTAATCGCATTCAGTAAGTACACAGCTGATCCTGATTTAAAAATATTTCATAACTAATTTACAATTCTTATTTGCAGTATTATGATAGAGTTGTGGTGTGAATTTGTTTCCTCACTTTAAATACTTGTCCAGGGGCAGATCCAGATATATTTTCTGACAGTCTTCCAAATTATCTTAGTTGATCCTTCTGCCAATCTGACCATCTAATCTACCAACAGGAAAAAAAAAAGATGCCCAACAAAGTAAACTTTTAAAATTCTGACCGTCTTGAGTAGGACCCAGAAGACGGCCTCTGCCCACCCCTGCTGTCATGCTATCACGGAATGGTGTTATCTTTCAGGTTATGAACTGTCCAAAATAGAGGGGTTGGTGGGCTCCCCCGAGAAGCCCCTGTCTGACCTGGGGAAACTGAGCTACAGGAGCTATTGGTCCTGGGTGTTACTGGAGATTCTCAGAGATTTCAGAGGAACACTGTCCATTAAAGATCTCAGGTTTGTTTTCTGTTCAATGAAGACGTCTTTAATAGATGCAGTATTTTTTTTCTTTTTTTTTCCTTTTTCATAAAGGTTGTGTCCTTGGTCACTTAATTTCAAGTGTATATCCCTTGTTCATTTTATTTCAAGTGAAGATTTTGCAACAATTTGCAAGTACTGTATGTTGGTCTGATTTCAGTGGGGCATTGTCACTTGTTTTCAAGAAAAAAGATGAAGACTGACACTAAGGTTTGATGCTGTCATTATTTTTTCTTTCAGTCAAATGACCAGTATCACACAAACGGACATTATACAAACTCTTCAGTCCCTGAACATGGTGAAGTATTGGAAAGGCCAACATGTGATATGTGTTACTCCAAAGCTGGTGGAAGAACACTTGAAAGGAGCTCAGTATAAAAAGCCTCCCATCACTATAGATGTGTCATGTTTAAGGTGGGAGCCTCCTAGGAAAGTGCCCAGAATTATAAAGAAATGATGTGTCTTGTTTAAGATGAGAGCTGCCAAAAATGTACCCAGGATCATAAAAAAATAATGCCATGTTTAAGATGAGAACTGCCCAGGATTATAAAAAAATAATGTCATGTTTATGATGGGAGCGATCAAGGAAAGTGCCCAGGACTTTAAAAAATTAACTGAATTTGGTTCTTTGACAAGTGAAATACAAGTTGCATCATTATTGGTATCTCATACACTTTCAAACTTTTTCTTTTGCTCGTATTTGGATACCACTGGATTCTGGACAAATGTTTTGTATGTTGATTATAATGTGATATAGTGTTGGCGTTTCCAGTCCAGCAAAAAAATGTAGCTATCGTACCATGAAGGTTTTTTTCAACCGATTTCTGTACATAATTGTAAAGATTACTTGAATGGTCATGAAATAAAATTGTACAGAAAGATGATCATGTTTTCATTGTCTGTTGGATTTAGGGGCTCATCAGATAAAATAGGGGTAATTTTCAGTTGTACTCACGTGCATTGTTGTATTTGAAAAGAAGTTTCCATTGCTTAAAATGTGCGCGTCTGTTACTTAACAAAATTATTATTTGAAACGTAAGCGACGTCATAGTTTTAATTAAAGTATACCCTGCAATGTTTAAACGTAACGAAAAACATTTAAACTAAATTGTTATTAAAAAGGTGTTAAACGTGGAATCCAAGTGCAAGGTCGGGTCGAGGAATGGTTTGTGAGTTGGACAAAATCACTTATTTTTCAAGGAAATTAGATTTGGCGGGAAAACTCCAGATAAAATCAAACCTCACTTTGCTTCGAAGGCAGTTGTTGAGAATATATTTCTTGACATGTGACTTACACCTGAATGCGCAGCAAAGTAATATTAGCTGTTGGCTTGCAATTCAAAGCACTTATAATTTCACTCTAATTTAAGAATTTTTGGTCCTTGATAAGACTGGTTTTCGTAGTGTCTGAACCACACACTGACTCAAACACTACACTGACAGCATTATGACAAACTGTGAAGTGACACTGACCGCGCTGTAGTAAGATAAGATCTTTTAAGTGAATTAAACCCGCTTCTCTACTCTCCACCAGAGACTCTTTTAGCTGTGTTTTTTAAAACACTTAAAATTGGTGAAGACATTATAATAGAAATTACCCCGACACTATATGAACTTGGGGTTCACGTTCAGCATTACGACTGGCTTTTAACTTCAGACCAGGAAGCAAGCTTTTCTTATCTCACTGAACAATATGTCAAAGCACTTGTCATTACTATATGGTTGACCTCGTCGAAATTCTGAAGTTATTATTACAGCCCGGCGTCCTCGTAACACGATGGTGTCCACTTACATGAACTAACAAAGGATGCATGGCTTAACGCTCCAATGCCTATTGGAGCCTTTTGGACAAACAAGTTTGCATTTTTTCGCTTTGTGGTATATATTTAGAAACATGAAACAAATTGAAATGAGGTCAATATCAAAATAAGTATTATATTTTAATTAATATCTTCTCGATAATTTTCAGATGACTCTATTTCGTAAAATGTATCGAAGACGGTAAATAAGCTATTGGAGACTACGGCATGTTAACGTAGCACCAAAAATAAATTCTCCGTTACTGATGTTGTTGGGGAATATATCATGTTGAACTTTTGTCCTCGGGGCAATATCATCTCCGAAGCAGAATGGGCGTTGACAAAAAAATACTTTCATTGAAAGGGGTTATTATAATAAATTACGCACCGTATAGTAAAGCAAAAGCACACTGAAGTCACAATTCACCTCTTAAGGTTAGGAGCGACTTTGTATTGTTGATTTCACCAGGGATGACAAAAAGCTACTGAATAGAAATTTTAGATTTATAATCGACCAAGGTGTTACTGGATTGATTTTAATCAATTATTAAAATAATTATTTATTTTCGAATTATTTCATGAAAAACAAAATAGACACAGCAAGAGAAATGATGGACTAAGTTAAATGTAAGTGTAGAAGGTTTGGACCTTCTGACTTGAGAAATAATAAGCTCGCAGTGACTGCATTTACGGTCCACGCCCTGCCCCAGACAGTAGTAATATGACCGCCACTGCACGAGACAAGATCGTAATAAGCAGCCTTGAAGACAAATTGTGTAATTGAGGCCAGATTACCGGCCTGTAACTCGCGTGCGCTTCGATTTTATGTCAGCAGATAGGACGTATGTCCGATACTTCTAAACTTCTCTTAGCTCATACATGGATTAAATAATTAACATCTATATATACAAATGCTAAAACAGTCTGTGCTTGCACACCACAGTGTTTATAAGAAAAGGCAAATTTTATGAATTTTGGGATTAGTTTTAGACTTCTGATGACTCTGAGTAACTTGTCACATTATAATTGGAATTATCGTTTGTCTCGAATAAATCTCTAGGAAAAGAAGTTTCAGTGGTATTAGCTGAAACTTACAAATACTGGCTTTCTCTCTCTCTCTCTCTCTCTCTCTCTCTCTTTTTTTTTTTTTTCTTGCGTGACTCAAACAAATTCACCAGCTCCAAAGTGTCCAAGATAGACAGAGCTTGTTGTAGTTCTTTTCCACAAGACATTGCTTTGGTGAATGTGTTCTACCTTACTTTTCATTAATAATCTTGTCACTTTATAAAAAATAGCCCTTGTTTTGGAATAGAATACACATAATAAGCCTTCGTGATTACTTATTTAAGCGAACTGCAAACCGTGGAAGTAAATAAGAGCCAAAAAACAATTAAAGCAATGATTTTCATCCCTCACCTAGTGAGCTGCAGTATTATTTGACATGGATAAAGAATGAATCCTTCTCCAACTCTCAGTTTAATAGCTCTACATCCTTTAAAGCATATTACTATTGCGGGTTACATTTTTTGGAATCTCGTGACTAGTATTTGTTAAAGGTGTTTATTCAAACCCGTAAAATAGCGCTATTCACCAAAGGCAAACCTTTGAGGCCAAACCCTACTATCACGGATCGATCGTGACATCGGCTGTGCTTTTGTGTTTGATATACACGCCAAACAATAGATTTTTACCTGTTCGCGCTAAAGCGCACGGTTCATATTGGGTCTTTAGCTGGGACGTGTCAGCTGGTCTTGGGTGTGAGCCACGGAGGTTAACACCACTGTTTCCCAGCACATGGGCGTAACCAGTCAGGTGTTTCAAGGAGAGCACTTGCACTGTAGGCCCTTTGTAAAAAAGGGGTTACTTTTAAGTCGTAGACGCCCAAGTTTTAGGCCCTATCCGTTGAACAGAAACAGATAAAGTGAGAGAGGAGGAAGTAAGAGTAGGAGAGGTGGAGGAAGTTAGGAAGGACTAACTGAACTGCTCAATTTCAATTTATGTCTGGCAGAATGAAAGAGACGCGGTTTCTGCTGCTGTTAAGTGTGTGCTACATCACACTACGGTCTTGTCAGGTGAGTACTGATAACTTCAGTGTCATATATCCATAATCATTCCGCTGTAAACTTTTCACTAATAACTAGACACACCCTGCAGCAGGCAAAGGCCGCCTCATCGATTGGAACATGGTGATGCTTATATGGAGGCAACAGTAATGTTCACGCATACCGGGTACTGATGTAAAATACTTTGTTGGGATAAGGCGGTATTTCTTTTAAATGTTTCACATATTTTCAAAACTTTAATAGCGCCCCTAAAGCATGACTTCTATAATATGGATTATATAAAGTAAACACACTTTCTCTTGTTGCGTAATTGCCTTTGTAAATCTAGCTTCTGAATAATATTGTGATTATATTACTGAGTAGCAGTCTTGGTTTTGTGGTGATTTTAACTCCGAAATATACACTCTGACCGACTTTGCGATATTTGAAACCATAAAGATTCACCTGTCGTGAGTTTTAACCCACGGACAAATAGCTTCTTTGTAAAGATGTATGTGTTAAGGGTGGGGTCGTATATTCTTTTGCATTGTACATAATATTTAAATATCAGCTGCGTTTCATGAGGCAGTGGCCAGCGTAAGATAAAAAAATGAGATGTTTTTATTCGATATTGGCCTAACTGTAAAACAGTATTTAATCATTGAAACAGTTATCACTGGCTGATACAGGGGTCGGACAGCAAGTACACTGTACCGAGCTTAGGGACGCTCCCCTGGCCCCCTTCGGGGCACTGCCCCCCCCCCCACCCACCCCCCTTCATCACCTTCTCAACCTTCTGCCTTCCCTCAATTACTAAAGCATGGAGAAAAAAATTTCCTTCCCTGTGTCCTATTTTTTGCTGTCAAATTATTCTCGTCTACTTTAATATAGGCCAGTGCCGAGCTGAACGTGGACATATTTCTATCCCCCCTCCCCCGCCCGCTCTCCGGCCCCCGGCCTTAGCAAAATTTTGGATATGCCAATGATTATAATTATATATATATATATATATGGCAACCTCGAGGCTGAAGGTTTGACGCCACCCACTACTGGTAATCTTTAATTGTACCACCAGCTTAGAATTGGAGCTACGGGCCGAGGATTAGGCCTAGGCCTACCTCCTGCTTTACCGTGTATCGCGTATTTACCGTAGGCCTACTCTGCGTTATCCCCCGTCGCTTGAAATTCCTTACCTCAATATTCTACACAATTTGTAAAGACCAATATATTCATTCTTTCGTTGACAGTGACATTTGGGGTCACCCTTACCTAACCTCTGTTTTTTTTTTTTTTTTTTTTTTGGGGGGGGGGGGGGGGTTAGACGGTGCATTTCTACACGTGAAAAAAAAAGCTGTTGGCATTCGTCAACCTGGTCAACGTGCACCTGCCACACTGAGACATTAAGAATATTAGATGTCCATGTATTTTTTACGGTTCAATAGTTAGATTTTGTTTAAGTAATACCCCAAATATATATCAGTATCTAAAGAAGATCCAGAAGATAACTCATATGTGAAGAATCCAAAATTGGCTACCACACAATAGAAAAGATAGAAAATAACCCATGCAGTGTATATAGGTAGGCCTATTGCATGTTGCGTTGCTTGGGTTAATATATGGTTTTAAAATGTTGGCACTGCTGTTTTTCATAATCGCCAAGGACCTCTGCAAGTATGTTATATACATTGTCTACTACTATATATATATACTTGGGTTGCAAAAGTACGTAGTGTCAGCCACCAGGGCCTGCTCGCCAAAACTGAAAATTCTCAGAAAACCTGCTTAAGCACAGTAGGCCTACTGAAAATATTTCTTTTCTTCTACGGATAAAACAAAGTTAGTGCTCATAGGTAATAATTTAGGTTATGCTGGTAGGTCTTCAATAGTGAAGGATCCATTTCTGTCCCATTTAAAGAATAGGTGTCAACCCAAACTTCATGTGTATTGTAACTCTGTAGTAAAGCGAACCATTAAGTGAATGGGCTCGTCTTGCTAATGTTAAACTCTTCAGTGGCAGGAGTATTTATTACACCAAATTGAAATTAGGAATGTTTGTGAGAGAGGAGGAGAATTTTCTGCAAAGTGTGATTCAAACCGCGTCATATATCAGTCACAAGTAATAATCCTATTCTTAGAAGAGTCGATATCTTAGTATCAAAGTCACGTTACCTCCACGTGGACTCCTGATGGCTTTTATCCTGATCAGTCCAGAGAGTTGGAGTTCCAGGAAGTACAAATGGTTTTGTCTGGCTGTGTGCCTTGTCTGCTGTGGACATAGTGTTGTTGGAGTCAGAATGGGCCAGGGGAATAACCACTCCCCATAGAGGAAAAGGATCTGATTCAACTACAAGTAGAGCTCTTTTAAGTCGTTGACGAATGCATCCCCAGTGTTATTAGTGACAACACTTACAGTATATGTTGATGACTATATTGGTACTTAAAAGTACCATGAATGCTACCACGGCCTTTATTGTTGTGTTACATGTTGAACTCAGACACTTGATCTGCCTCACTTGGGATTTCTGTTTCTCAATTTTTCTAGAAGTAAAATGGTTTATTAAACTTCAAGTGGCTTTTGTTATTTAGGATTGGGACATACCTTTGTTGATGGATGAACAATATCTATCCTGCCCACACCTTAAATTATGTTACTCTACCATGTGTGGGAGTTTCACACAGAGAATGCGCTTGTGCCATACACATATTACATATGTTAACCATATTGCTAGAGCTGTATCAGACAAGAAATTGTACTTGTGAGGGTGAAGCTGGGAATGTTATCTTAGAAAGCAATGTATACATTAATACACAAAACAATACAAAAATTATAGTACTTACGGAAGCATATAGACAAAATGCCATGCTGTATCATAGTAGAGAAAAAAGCATTCACACAATATTTTAATTTTACCCTGACCCCATTCCTCAATCCAGCCATATTTGGCAATGGCTTACTTTTTGACCCCTTGGTATTTAAGATTGGGACAGACAAGTACCTTGAGGGATGAGCAATGATTACCCTGCTCTTGTGTTGGAATTTCACAAAGATTATTTGCTTGTGCCATATAAATATTCAGTACATATATTTTCCATATTGTTAGAGTAGTGTGAGGTGGAGGTAAATTCTGTCTGTGATGGTGAAATCTTAGAACTGGAGCCATGTTTTAACAACTTTCAACCATGAATATGTGTTTTTTTATACAATACAAAATTACAGTACTGTCAGAAGAATATAGACAACACATTATGCTGAATAATATAACTAGAGAAAAAAGCATTCACACAATATTAAATTTGACCATTGCCCCATTCCTCCATCCAGCCTTCTTTGGGAATGGCTTACTTTTCAACTCCTCGGTGATCTAAAGAAATGAAAGAAAAATAAATAAATTAACCTAGATAGCCACATGATTACCCAGATTTGATTAAACTGTGTCCTGCAATATGGCGACTTGTTTATCTTCTGATGCCTTGATTTAAAACGATTGTCTGTGTCTTCCATTATCTTTTTAGGGAGCATGTGAGCAGTCCTTTCAGTGCCCGGAGGGTGAGTTCACTGAATTCATAAAGATATGTTAATTATTCACTTCTTCCCTCTTTAAGACTGGGTTTCCACACCTAGATTGATCTAACAGGATCGATCCATCTCCTAGGGTTTTTTTTTTGCTAAATGTCTTTTAGCTTAAGCAGCTTAGATGTCTGGCTTGGCTGCCGAAGCTGCTAAACAATAATTAATTGCCCCCTAGCAGCTTCTGTAAGTGCGAAAGACATCTAAGCCACTTAAGTTGATTGCAATTTGGTGAGAATCCCCTCAGAGATAGATCGATTCACAGTTAGTAGGATAGTAGATTTGTAATTTCTTTGTCATGGGTATAGTTTTAGCTAGATAACTGTAAAGTGTGTGTGTTAATACATAAACTTCCTAATTTCCCTCAGTAGCAATTAAACTACTGTGTTATGTGAATCAAATTTTATCTGAATGTATATTGACACTGATATCTATGTGGTTTTATTTCTCATGTTGTCTTATATTTCAGGATGGGTGCGTAGAGAGGCTCAGTGTTTTAAAGCCTATAGTCTTCAGATTGGATGGAAAGATGCATCAGGAGTTTGTGAAAGGTACAAGAAATATGTGAGCTAAAAAAAAAATATATATATATATCTGAAAATTATGAAATTTCACATTGGCTGTGTCATATGAGCAGAAATGTGTTTAAGGTTGAAAATGATAACTCTTTGACACAGTATATGAAAAATCAGTAAGTCATGTCCATCCTATTTGAATAGGTTTTTTGTAAACATAATGAAATAAAGCATATATATTCTATATTTATATTACTACATATTTCCATAGGCATGGTGCCAGGTTAGTGACTGTCAAGGACAGAGAGACTGCTGATTTTATAGCTGGTGTTGTGAGAAATGCTAGTGTGAACACATCCTACTGGATAGGTATTGGACTTCCTTCTGTCCTCTGCTTTATTTACATTTATTCTCACCCTTGCCACTGTAATGGAACAGAGTGATTAAAAATTCACTTCAGTTTATTTTGATGTATTTCAGTTTTATCTTATTTGATATCTGTACCACACTTTTTGCAGAATAATTGTTTATTGGAATGATTTTCTGAGAAGAGCAAAGATGTATTCAGTATAAATTGATATATGGTTAAAACTAAATACTAAGTATTACTCTTTGAATTAAATAGGTTTAAAGAGTGAAGATAACTTAGTAGAAGGAGAATGGAGAAATGGCCAGGAAATGTCACTCCAGTATGGTTTCTGGTACGGGGATGAGCCAAATACAGCTGAAGAAAAACTCTGCACATCAGCCCTGCAAAATGAGGACAACACTTGGAAGATGGAGAAATGCACGGAAGTAAAGCTGCCTTTCGTTTGCATGTCTGTTGCTTGCATAAATGGTAAGTGAAATATATTTTAATTTTAAGATAATAAAAGAATTTACTCTTTTATTTCATGCTTTGTGAATTACGATCTTTTTATTCTATTTTCGTTGTTGTTATACATTGTTTTGTTTAGTTAAGTGTTTATGTTATAATTAGCAACTCGAGACCTCTTAATCTTATTTGAAATATTCTGTTTGCATCATATAAGCCTGTGTGTATATTCCAGACTTCCTTCACTGTTTTAATGACCAGTGTGTGCTGTCTTCATTGAGATGTAATGGTGTAGATGACTGTGGAGACATGACAGATGAAATGATGTGCAGTATGTAGCACAATTTAAATACCAGGATTATAGCAGATTTAGATTGCTTTTGGCTTTTATATATATATATATATATATATATATATATATATATATATATATATATATATATATATATATATATATATATATATATATATATATATATATATATATGCTACCTTAAGTACAAAATTTTTCAGTAATTTTACTCCAAGAATTTATTCAACTTATAACAAAAGATTTAAATGCCAAGAAGCATGGATTTAATTGATGATTGAATATATGTGGTTTTCTGGTCCTGATTATAATGTCCGTTTTCTGCATTTGCTAGGTGATCTGAACAGTGAATATATGTATAGTGAGAGTGGAGGTAATATTAAATATCCAGCATCAGGCTCATACAGCAACAAAGAGAGTAAGACATGGACTCTCAAAGCCCCCAGTGGTAAAAGAATAAAGCTACAGGTAAAGAGAGTGTGATATTTCTATTGTTTTTAATTTGATTGAAGTTTACTGCCTTGTTGTCACAAAACTACTAGAAATGGTAGTTCATCCTAAATGATATCAATATTTCAGTCAGAAAATGTCAACTACCTCTTACGTAACATCTCAGATACCAAAACTTTTTTCCACTTTTTATACTGTTTCCATTTAAAAAATAATGAAGGACCATGTCATGAAATAAAATGCAGAATCAATTCACATGCATGACAGATAAAAAGATACCTTTGTTCATTTACATACTGGCAATGCAAATACTAATTAAAGAATGGTAGTGCAGCAATTGTATTATTATATCATAATATATTGTACAAAGTTAAGGCCATGATAATTTACTTAATTGCACCAGTTAAGAAATAAATTGAATTGAATTGATAACCATGTATTCTATGTTTTACAGTTCACAGAGTTCATCACAGAGTCTCAGCAAGACTACCTTCAAATCTGTGATGGTGGCCCAACAGAAAGCTACTGTACAGTAATAGATACAGTATCTGGGGATAAATCCAGTTCATTCAGCTACACCAGTTCCACCAACTATTTCTTACTCAAATTCTTCAGTGATGAGTCCGTCACAAGGACGGGGTTCACTATACAATGGACTGTTGGTATGTTTTTGTGAAGAAATCGGCAAACAAGATCTTAATGTTAATCATTTTTAAAATGATTTAGAAAATAAGAAATGCAGAACATTGCCTATTATTTTGTAGTATGAACAATGCATCTGCACATGTTGTGATATTGGTAGTATTTCTAAATGTATCATGAACACATTTTGTGCATAAAACTTTGTTGACAGGTGGCTTGAAGAGTTAAGGTTTAGACTTCATCTTAACAGAACTGTCACAACTAAGAATAAAGTATTTTTGTCTCCAATCAACAGCTAATATTTAAGTTGTTAACCTCCAATACTGCAATGTCTGTCTAGAGCATCTTCACAAGGGAATGAGGCTTTTCTCATTATCAGCTGCCAATTGGAAAAAAATTACTGCTTTATTGTTTATAATATAACACAGCTTATGACATTGTTTTCTGAGCTGTGAATGGTGTTTTCAGTACCCAGTCCAGAGGGCGCCACACTGACTGCAGTTAACCAGCCTCAGATGATCACCAGTCCTGGGTTTGGAACACAGTATAATGGAAAACTTAGGACAACATGGGTTATTACTACACCAGTTTTAAGACAGATCTTAACCTTACATGTAAGTCAATTGTTGTTTCATTTCTCTGAAAGATTGAGATCCTTAGGACTAGCTGGGTTATAACTACACTTATTTTAAGACAGATCTTAACTTTTCATGTAAGTCATTGGTTTGATAATGTTGATAATTTAACTTTGCCATTAGTTTGACCGATTTTGATTTTGCTGCCAGTTTTGGTCAGTTTAAAGTGACCTACATAAATAGTTGCAATAAATGTGTCACAAAAGATGGATGAAATAACTAGAATTATATTTTTATAGTTTCATTCGATCAAACTGGCTGCTAGGGATGACTACCTTTACATAAGGGATGGAAACAGTCCCTATTCTTCAAAATTGTTGGAATATCGGGGTCCAGTTGATGAAGTGGACCACATCATATCATCTACTGGGCAGTCCCTGTACATTTATCTTCACACAGAAACTATGAATGCTGAAGGAGGATTTAATGCATCTTATTTCCAAGGTGAGACATTGTGTTGTGGTTTTGGTCAATATTTATTGCGTATAGCTCTTTGACCATGGTACATTGGCACTGAAGCAGGAGAAAACATGTTAGAAAAAAATGAAATGAAAATGATTGTATTTAGTGTCATCTGTCTGTTTGATGAACTTTTCTACTCAAATTATTTTTCATAAGAGAACTTGGTGTGGTATTCATTCTTAGCAGAACAACAAAATGATCACAAGGCTTTGTCTTGTGAAAAATTGCCAGCTGATTTTCAATGCTGTTTATGTACTCTAAATAAAAAATATATTATCAGCTAAATGAGCAAAAATTTTCATAAGTTTGACATTTGAATATAAATCATATAATTATTTGACAAAAGCTAGAATATCTTTTTCTGCACCATGTGTTAGCCTGCGGTCAACTTGGTCGAAGGCCTTCATCAGACTGATGTGCTGTGTAAGTTTGCCATTGATTTGGTGTAAATGAGAAATTTGCCATTTTCAAGCATGACAGTTGGTGTTTAATGTTTGTTATTCCAGGTTGTGATGTCCAGTTAACCACCAGTCAGGGGATGATAATGTCTCCAGGTTACACCATAGGAAGTTATCCCAACTCTGCCCGCTGTACCTGGAATATCTCCACACCTGGAAACCAGCCATTTGCTCTGGACTTCCAGGAATCTTTTGAATTGGAAAGTGGTGTTGATTTCCTGAAGGTAATTCTAGGTCTTAATTCAGTTAGTATTTATACTGTTTTGCTCTAAACTTGGTCACTTTCAGGGATGAAAATTCAGACTGTTAGTCAGCTAATGCAATGCAATCATAAGCATTATATGGGGCATGTTGATTGCATTTTGTTATTATGGGCTCACAGCTATTTATCAATGCAGTTTTCATTGATTGCGTAGCTGCTTGATATATGGACCACACCCTGATTATATTAAAATGAGATGACCAAATTTGATGTGTCAAAAGTACATTTAATGTGTGAAAGCAACATATGCTAAAATTAAGCTCTATTATTTCTGCAAATCTCAAAAGCAAATATTTGATTTACTGATTGCTAAAGATCTAGGATAATCAGTAAAGATCAATTTACAGAAATGGAGCTTATTCTTATGATAAGCACAAAAATTTGCAGTCATGTTTTTGTTAAAGTTTCTGCTTCATTTTGATGTAATTTTTGTAACAATGACAGATCATATATACTCAACATTTACCAAATGCTGATCAACTCACAAACTATTCTTACCAATCACATAATAAGTTAAATAATTAAGTTTTTATATTTAAGATCTACAATGGTACTGACACCAGCTCTAATGCCCTCCACATTGGCAGTGGGTTTACTGGCACAGTGTTGCCATCTACAGTCCATTCATCATCAGGAGCTATGTTTATTGAGCTTACAACCAGTGCAGTGATTGCAATGAAAGGATTCATGGCTCGATTCTCTATTGGTATGGATTTAACTAATTTATTCACTATAACAGACCCACTGCACTTTGCTTTTATTATTTTAATGTAGTGAATAGATCTATTCAATTCTCTGTTATTATTATTATTATTATTATTACTATTATTTTGCACGTAAATCAGATCATCTGCCATGTGCTACAGCTTTTAGTTTTGTTTTGAAAATGAATGCTAACTATCTACTTTATTCCAGATTGTCCCCAGGAATTAATACAGTTCAACTCCTGGACAAATATCCAGCCCAGCAATGCTCTGTCCACAATGTACACAGCTAACTTTAATGTCAGCTGCATGCATGGCTATGACTTTGAGAACCAGGAATACAACCAACAAGAATCAGTCAACATGCAGTGTCTCTATGGAGGAAAGTGGAACATCCTCAGAAAACCAGTCTGTAAATGTGAGTAAATACTGGGAGAGTTTTCATACATGCCAGTTTATCAAAAGTTAGAATTACTTAATTGCATTAGATTGTGCCATAGCATTAAAAACTGAGTTAGAAGGAAGCACGTATTTCTGAATCAGGTTGAACTCAGTCTAGTTTTTTAGAGTGAGCTGCGGTCAGTACTATTTAGTATCTTGATTTGCCAACTGATGTCAGAAAAAAAAAGGTCACAGGAAGGACAATTTTTGAAAATGCTCCTCTCAGCAGCTATTGTGACAAGTAAACCAAAAATCCAAATAGACTTAGTTACAATGAGGCCGCATTCACATTGAGTTGAGCCATGGCTTTACAAAGCCACGCCCTTTATATGGCAGACATACATGAAAGGAAAACCGCCTAATCTTTTAATTGTCTCTCTGCCTCTCACACGCCTCCACAGCTTCCAGGTGAATGGAGCCAAGATTTAATGATTGTACCCCCGCAGGGACGACTCGTAGGGAGGCGTGTGAGAGGCAGAGAGACTATTAAAAGATTAGGCGGTTTTCCTTTCATGTATGTCTGCCATATAAAGGGCGTGGCTTTGTAGAGCCATGGCTCAACTCAATGTAAATGCAGCCTGAGACTTATAGGTACAATAAGTTACATTGACATTGATAAGGTTAAAAACACCATATTGAAAACCACATGTCATTCCAGTACACTACTGTGGCTCCTTGGGCAGTCAGAACAACATCCCCCATGGCTACCTGTCCAACACCACTGGAGTGCTGTATGGAGATCAGGCATACTATGTGTGTTTTGCTGGGTTCACTCTCAATGGTTCCAACCCTGTGAACTGCACTGAGGAAGGCTGGGTCAGCAATGACTTCCCGCGATGTGAAGGTGGGTCATTTCATCAATGATGAGAAAATAGTAAACAATGAAATGTTACTACAGAAATTATTTCATCTGAAACAAAATTTTCATAAATTACACAAACATTTTTACAGTAATATAATTGTATAAATATTATGATAATATACATATAAATAGTAATTATCTGAGTGGTGTAACATGGATAACATTTTAATACATAGGGTAGAAATTATACTATTTATTTGTTGTACTGTGTTTAACAGCTCCATTGTGCACCCCAAGGCCACAGGTGCCTAACTCTAACCTTGAGATCACAGGGGACCTAATAGCCAAATATACATGTGACATTGGCTATGAATTGGTAGGAACTCCCACTGCAGTCTGCAATAGGGACACCAAAAACTGGACTGCTGAGGCACCTGTTTGTCAAAGTAAGTTTTAAGCTGCACCTTTCACATTGAGCAGTACAGTTTTATAGTGCTCTGGTTTAAAATAGAATGGCTATGATGTAAGAGAGTCACCTATATAGACAACCTGCACTCGGCATGGCAAGTTACACCTTGAGATTACGGGATTATAACCGCGTTTATTTTGATTTGTTTATTGGGGCTTGTGAAAAGGTGTCACATCTGTCTGTTTAAGTTTATCTTAACACTTTTGACTAAAAATAATGACAAACCATCTAATTAACACGCAATTTGGTTTAATAGGAAAACCCTGTCCAGCCCCATACCCTGTGATACGTCATGCCTCCCTGAACATCACAAACACCACAGGAGTTTTATACTTTGAGGACACAGTAATGGTGACATGTGACATTGGATATGAACTAGAGGTCAATGTGTCCAATATACTGACTTGTAATGCTGACCAGACATTTGGGGAGCTACCCAGGTGCATAGGTAAGCTATTATAGACAGGAATGCAGATGATTGAGATTGATAAAATCTGGAAGAAAATAATATCTTTATTGCAGTCATTGTTGTATATATGGTTGAGGTTTTCTGATAAACTTTATGTAATTATGGCAGTTAGACTTGACTTGTTAGACTAAAGAAATGTCACAACATTTAATCATTTTGTTAATTATTTTGATAGTTTTTCATTATCAAGCTTTTATGATTAAGGTTTAAAATACCGTATGCAATAGAAATCTTAAAAGATTTACAAAATTATGTTCAGATATCCTATTGCAAAATGTTTCCCAACCATTGCAATGGTGTATCTGAAATTTTTCCTCCATTCTAGATATCAATGAGTGTAACAGCACTAATAATGGTAACTGCAGCCAGAACTGTGTGAACACCCAGGGTTCCTATCACTGTACCTGTAACCCTGGCTATAGGACTGACCCCATGGACCCCTTCCAGTGCACAGGTCAGTGGTCTACTGTTTCCAGTAATTAAATATCACTGTTCCCCTCTGTTTCAGTGTAATGATTTGAGAGATCGCTGGTCACTTTACAGTGTCATTTAGCATTGGAGGGTTTTACTATTTAATGAAATTTTACTATTTAATCTTTAAAATTTTGACTTATCTTTCTTATTACCATAAATAAACACAAGAATTATCCAGGAGAATTTTTTTTTTTCAAATCTCTAGAATTAGGTACTGTTTTATGATATTTTTAAAAAATATGAAATGGCCAACTGTCCGCAAAGTATCACATGATTCTAATAATGTTTCAGTTCATTTGTTGTCTTGTACATTGTTTTTTTTTTATAGCCCCACTATAATTTGACAACATCATAGGAAAATTATACATGTTAATGATGTCCTGGAGTGTTCTATGAACAGTGGGCGTGGTCAGTGTGATGACACTATAATGAAATAACTAGCTCATATAACTGTAGCTGCAGTCAGACTGGCACAACTCTGATGGAATGCCTTTTGGGTTAAAGAATGCAACACAAGTCTTTCAATAACTTAATGTTTACCTCTAGTTTTATCTTGACGATGTTATATATTCCAGATGTCCTTGAATGTTCTATGAACAGTGGGCGTGGTCAGTGTGATGACACCTGTAATGAGATAATTGGCTCATATAACTGTAGCTGCAGTCAGACAGGCACTACTCTGTTTAGCTCAAATGGGACCAGCAGTTTCTATATTCCTGCAGTGGAAACAGGGTTGATGTACAATGATGAATTTTATCTGAACCATACCTGTGTCAGTAAGTATGATATAGGAGGGTAATATAAGAGTGAAGAACTTACTAAGTAAGTGTTTTTTTTTTCAAAATCTCCATTAATTATAGTTCTTAGTAACAGTTTATAAGTGACCAAAGATATGATCACAGAAACCTCATTGTACTATTTTCTTAATACGAATTAATGGTTAAGTGTAAATAAATGAAACAAAACATGCATTTCACATCATACTTTTTCCTCGTCATCAGAGGTAGAATGTGGCTTACCCGTAAACGCCAGCATGTTTGCTCATCTCCATGCACGCCCCCTGGATGTCAACCTAGGCCGCCCCTTCCGTTACCAAGACAACATCACATATCTGTGTGATATAGGGTATGTGTTGGTGGATGGCAGCAACAAGATGACACTGACCTGTGGTCAAGATGGACAGTGGAGTGGGGGACTCCCTGAATGTCAAGGTAATCTCTTGGTTACATTTGGGGATAGTTAAGTCACATCATAGGCAGAATTAGAGGGGGTGGGGATCCTGACCCCCCCCCCCCTTTCGATTTCTGAAAAAAAAATCACATCAATGGTCCCCTCTTGAAATTATAATTTTGACTAGCTGAATCATAGTTCTAAACTGTACTAAATGTCACCATTCACCCTCTAAAATTCGCATCAAATTTTTGGGGCTTTGAGATGTATGAGGTCAGAAATAATGGGGAGAGAATTTAGGAATGCTTGTATCTTTGATATCACTTTGAAGTGTCTGTTTTCCATAAGTAGACATTCAGAAAAGAGTTCTAAAAATTTGGAATAAATTAATGCAAGTTCATTACAAAAAATGTGCTAGACTGAGTAGTACTTTAAAACAGTTAAAAATCAAATGATTGCCAGTTGCTGAAACACTTCTATGTCTTGAAGTTATTGATTAAAATGTGACCTTGATATTTCAGCTGCTATGTGCATGGAAGAGCCTGTTCCCAGTGGTGCTATTGCAGGAACAAATAACCTGACCTACCAGGCTGTAGGCGAGATCACATGTAACGTCTCCGGGGTCCGAAATGAAACCATTACTCGTTATTGTCAGTATAATCAAACTTCAGACAGTTACATGTTCACAGGACAGCCTATTAGGTGTAATGGTAAGATATTTAGGATGGGTTAAGTACTTGGTGAAGCATACTGCAGACAAGTTCAATTGCATTAAATTGCAGAATAAAACATAGCCCATCTTGTTAACTCTCCATTTGTCTTTCTTTACAAGATGAATGTATTAAGTATGATCTTTAATCTTTTGAAAAACTGCATTTTTAAATATTGATTTACTTGTATTTGTTTGAATCATGTATGTCACATTGAAGAAGCCACATCTTGTTTTTTATAGAACAAAAGATGAAACATTGTAATTAGCCATTGGCATAAATGTGTTTATATAGTTATAGACTGTGGGCAGCCAGACACTATAACAGGAGCCAATATAACAGTGGTGTCCACACTGTATCCTAGCAGCTTTACAGTAACCTGCAAAGATTTATACAGCCTTGCTGGAAACAGCAGCGAGTATGATAACATTGTGAGGTGTACAGCTGATGGATATTGGGACTATGGAGATCTTCGATGTGAAGGTAGATGTTATACCACATTGGTTTTATTAGTTTTTTCTCGGTTTGTTTTATCTGAATGCAATGCTAATATGGATTTTTGGAAAGCCTAATTGCTTAATGATCTCTACTACAGAGTAGTTCATTTGATGCCTTTGGTAACTTGTTTTTTATTGAACTATTTTTCTATTGGGCACATTTTTGTCAAATGGGTGCTGACATCACTAACAATTAATTTAAATCTTTGGGGAAGATGTGATTTAAGATTCTACATTTTTGATTTGTTCACTTTTTAAAAATTACAATTAGCCTAAAAAAAATAGAGAAAAATTAGTCATAATTATTTCATTCTTAACTACAGGGGCCACATGTAGTGACCCAGGGAGGCCTCCAGATGGCAGACAGGTGGCAGTAGATACCTATGAGGAGGGTAAACTGGTTAGATATGTCTGTGACAGGCCAGGTTATGAACCAGACCCTCCATACCCCTTGCTGTGTGAGGTGGCAGGTTCCAATCTTACCTGGAATGCCTCTGCACCTACATGTGTGGGTGAGTATAACAAGGCAGTGTGTTAAGAGGTGGAAGTGTCTCCTGATTTACCTAGAAATCCAGATATTTGAGAATTGTCTTAACCTATTAACACCCCTTTACCCCTTGCTTTGTTGTATTTTCCAGGTCCACTTTCATCTCTGTGATATTTGTAATAAATTATTGGCCAGTTATTGGTGCCAGTGTATCAGTATTGTTTTCGTACCTGACAAGTAAAAGTAATACTTCTCTATGTATGGATTAGGTTTATGTCTCATTTTTCAGTTGATTTAAAATATGGAATTTCAGTAAATTATAATTTAAGTACCTTACAATTTGTACATCATTGTGATTCATAGTCACTTATTTATTTTCTTACTATACATTTTCCTTCTTTAAGCCCACAGCCAATTATTTAGAGGTTATGTATATTATAAACTTATACTTATAATTATAGACAGGGAATCACCAGTGTTTACCTTCTGTCCCGGACCTTTTACTGTGGCTAAGCTTTCTGAACTGTTTACCATGCCATTTCCCAATGCCACAGACAACTCTGGGATGATACGGGACATCCAGGTGTCCCCTGTGGACTTCCATGGTTATGGGATGTGGATAGAGCAGGACATGAATGTCACATACACTGCCTATGATCACGCTAATAACACGGCTACATGTGTGGTTAACATCAGGTTAAAAGGTGTGTTTTATGCAGGTTATTGAAACGTGTAAGGAAAATAAAGAAAGATTAATCTCAGCATCTAGATTAAATATATGGACCCAACATGTGTTAAGTCCCAGATAAAAAAGATTAATCCCAGGGGTTAATCCCACAAGTAGGAATGAGTATTGGAATTTAAAATATGATATATATATATATATCACCTACATTTTATATGTACTCTATGAATTACAAACAGAGTATATGTTTTTATAGATTCTGTGCATTTGTGAGAAGATTCATACATGTATAACTTCTCAGATCCTCAGATCAAAGGGGAAGTATAATAAGAGCACTATATTTATTACTGATTACTTAATATCTTTTGATAAAAAGTGAATGAGTTTAGAATGTAATTAGTATGCACATTCTAACAGCAGCACATGTTGTACTATTTCAGACCAGGAGCCACCGGGCATCAGCTGTCCTAACTCCACCACCCTGGTCATCCTGGAGGACAACAGCCAACTGGTCATTACACAGGGTGGACAACTGCAGGGTAACTACAGCACTATGTTCATGGCTAAGGCCACAGACAATGTCACACCTAGAGGTGAGATGACCTTCATCTACAGTCCGCCCTCACAGACCTTGACCTCAGCTATGGTGGACAAGAGGATCACTTTCACAGCGACAGCTACTGACATGGCAGGGAACAACGCTTCCTGTAGTTTTGATGTGGTGCCTAGAGGTATGGGGAGGAAAACTTCTAATACCATCATCAGCATTTTATAAAGCACTTTCTTGTTTAAGGGGAAATCTGGCATTGCACATTGTTTTTCACTTGCTAGGTGAATTTTAGTTTAAATTAGATTACATCCTTTACAGATCATTGTAATAGGTTACTGCAAGCACATATGGGGCTGGTTTCAAATTAACTTTTTTTTTGTACTGTTTAATTACTGTACAACTAAATACACCCCTTCTGCATACTAGCATTATATTGATTATGGAATATTACTGTCATAATTTGTACTAATTATTCCTTCAGCCTCTCCCTGTAGTACATGGTACCTGCCAACCCCAAAGTTTGGTACCAAGACCTGTACCACCAGTAATACCACAACCAGCTGTACCACTATATGTAACAGTGGGTATGGATTCCATGGTGGACAGGCTTCCATTGTATATACATGTGACACCTCAGCTGACCAACCAGAATGGAGCAATAATGGAACTGTCCAGGATTGCGTAGGTTAGTGTGTGGAATGACAAATTCATGTAATATAATTTCTAAGGCTCTTTTAACATCCAGCAGTTTTCTTTACTTGGATGTCATACTCCCTTGTGAATGAGGGTACCCCCCCCCCCCCCCCCCCCCCCCCCCCCCCCCCCCCCCCCCCCCCCCCCACCCCCC